GTGGTGTGAGGGGAAGGAGGTAAAGGCATGTCTGGAGTTGTGTTAATCAAAAAGTGCAGGCAGCCTATGATGAGGGATTTTCAAGCCTACAGGGATTGGATGCTGGAGAACTTCTGGGTTTCAGAGCAAGGCGCTCTGCTTAAGGTGTTCCTGAGATGAGGGGCGGAGCCACAAGGGAAATCAGGCAAGGGTGCAGGAAGCATGGGCTGGGGAAGCGGCCAGTGAAATCTGTCCTTTCCCCCTCACAAGCTGCGCGGGTTAATTCTCCCATGATGCCAAGCACCGTGGAGAAGAAAGCTCTCTGACCTTCTATGGGATGGCCGTCTCAGCTCCACCATGAGCTAAGGTGTGCCAAACCCCTAAACCCAAAGCAGGGCAAGGTTTTCTTAGAAACCAGAGAAATGTTGAAAAGTTTTCTTTTTTTTTTGGTTTTACGAGACAGGGTTTCTCTGTATTGTTTTGGAGGCTGTTGGTCCAGCCCGGCCTCAAACTCACAGAGATCCTCCTGCCTCTGCCTCCTGAGTGCTGGGATTAAAGACGTGTGCCACCACCGCCCGTCGAAAAGTTTTCTTAATGCCACCTCCAATGAGGACTCAGGACAAAAGAGTGGCTAGTCACCAAAGGAGACCGTACCAGTTCAACACCATGACCCTCTCCCCACAGGAAAAGGGGCTTTATGTCATTTCCCAGAAGTCCAACATCTGGTTGGACCAATTCCTGTATGGGAACTCTGCCTCGACACCACCTCCCTCTCCTCCAGGCTAATGCTTTGATTGCCACAGAGCTGGCAGGCTTCCCTCTGGCTCCCATTCCTTCAGGAAGCCATCTACAGCTGCTGGCCCTGTCACATCCTATGAGGTGGTGGCAGCCGCATTTCAATGGTAAAACAACAGATTGCAGGTTGTAGCTAAGGGCTTCGAAGTTAGTGCAGAAATGTGTTGTATTTCCAGAGCGGGCTAATTCCTCTAGTTCCAGTGATGCAGTTACAGGCGAGGGCTTAGACTTCAAGGGCACAGCGGCTCTTCAATTCCTGTTTGTTGTGGAACAATTCTAGGGAACCGCTTATGCACGTACTCAGCAAACGCTGATGGAGTGTGCTAGGTACTTTGTACAGCAAGAAGTCTCTGTTCTGAGTTTCGATCCCAAGAAGGTGAGTGCTAGCTTGTGCTAATACCGCTTGATTGCCTTTTCCTTCCCAAAGCTTTGGTGACACCTGGCCACTTCATTTTTGCTATTAGCTGCTACTGTCCTGACGTCACACAAAGCCACTGTACTGAAGAAAACAAAACAAAATTTAGACATAAGCCTGAAGTGGGGGAGTTTGGCTTAGCACTTACTGTTTTTAGTTGTTGCTGCTGGTTTTTCAAGACAAGGTTTCTCGTTGTAGCCATGGCTGTCCAGGAACTCACTCTGCAGACCAGGCTGGCCTTGAACTCACAAAGATCCACCTGCCTCTGCCTCCCCAGTGCTGTGCCTCACTTACTTCTCTTCTAGAGGGTAAGAGTTCACTTCCCATCGCCACAACTGCCAGTAATTCCAGCTCCAAGGGGTGCAACGTCCTCTTCTGGACTCTGCAAGCACCCGTACATGCAGCATACACTCACACAGAACAGACCACACAAACTACACACTTTTAAGGTGACCTTTTAAAGGGAATATGTATTTTAGGTACTAGCTGTAAGGGAGAGAGGCTCTCAGCAAGGGAAGCTCCCCAGCGATAACTATACTGGCAGTTCTAACTCTTAAACAAGCACAGCCTGGTCAGAGGGGCCCACCCAGCTGGGGTGTGGACACACCTACAGGACAGCTAAAGTAACCCTGACCCTGCCATGGGGGACAAGACTGAGCACTGGGAAAGCCACTTCACTCCTTGGATGGAGATGGGGTGAGGTAGGGAGATGTAAGTGTGGGAGGGGAGCACCCCAAAACAAGGGCAGGGGAGGGGAATACACAACACAGATAATCCCTTAGCAACGATATACAAATTATGTTTTTCTAAGCATCTTTATGCTCACTGTATGGCAGGAAGGGTGTTGCAGAACATTATTTTAACTACCTGGAGATGTGCTGCATCTGTTTATACTGCAGAATATTTAACTAGGTGAAGGTGTGTTATACTAATTTCTGCTGTCTTTGTTAACGGGGTAAAGATGTGTTACACTACTTTCTGCTGCATTTGTTACATTTATGTAAAGATGTGTTGCTCTGAAGAGTGAGCTCCGTCCTGAATGCAGAGGCTGCCTTGTGTGACTGGAGCACACAAACCTGGAGCCCATGAGTGAAGAGAACACACTGCGTGATGGAGGGGATCTTCAGGGCCCCTCAGCGAACCCTCCGTCGTCTACAGGTGAAGAAACCCAGCTTAGCAGCACTAGCTCACAATTGCAGACATCACCTTCTGCCTCTGAGGGTCATGACAGAGTACACAGGGTACACAGGACTGCCCTCAACTGGACACAATGTAAAAACACGCATGCCTCGATAACAGGCTTTTTCTTTTGGGTCACCAATCAGTTCCCAAATCATGACATGGAGACTTATTAGTTACGAAGAGTTGGCCTTATCTTAGCTCTTATTTTAATCTGTTTCTCTATCTTTTGTCCCAGGGCTTTTTACTTTTTGTTTTTCTAGACAGTTTCTCTGTGTAGACCAGAGTTTCTCTGTGTAGACCAGAGTGGCCTCGGACTCACAAAAATCTGCCCACCTCTGCCCCCTGAATGCTGGGATTACCGACACCTGCCACCTCTGCCTGGCTTAACCTTTCTTTCATTCTGTATGACTCACTTTCCTCCAACGTCTGGCTGCCTGGTTTCTGGCCCTGGACACGTCCCTCTCTCTGTTCTGTTCTCTTGCCCCTTTTCTCTCTAGTTCTTTTCAAGCCTACATTTCTCTCTGCCCACAAGCCCTGCCGCCTATCCTTCTCTTGTCTGGCTATTGGCTGCTTAGCTCTTTACTAGACCAATCAGGTGCCTTATGCAGGCAGGTGAAACAGATGCAACACATCTGGTGAGTTCTTTCTGGGGCTTGGTTTTTCCCGAGTTGGTTGTTGAATGTCCTCTCATTTCACAGCATTTATGGAGCACTGAGCAGTTTTGAGAACATTTGCTTGTTAGTATTTGCACCCCCACCCTATTTCTCAAGTATCTGGTTGGTTTTCTTTTACTTTTCTTTCTTTTCTGTATCCTCTCGCTTTTTACAATCTATCCCTTTTCACTGTAGAAACCCCATGACTGTGCGATCGTGAAGACGAACACAGAGACATCTGTCCCCTCCAGCCCACCAGCGTGGAGTGGCAGGAGGAACTCCACGGGAGGTGCAACGACCTCAAGGAGAGACCGGGCACACCCAGTCCTGGCGTGTAAGAGTTCCTGTTGCCCAGCTCGTAAGACACACAAGGGTTGACCATCCAGTGCCTTGAGCCCCCTCAGTCCCGAAGATGTGCAATGCAAACCCAACTCACAGCAGGACAGAACTGACTTAGGAACAAGACAAAGGGCTACTCTCATAAACAGCATGAAAATGTGATCCAAAATGCAAATTCCACCAAGCTAGAAGGTTGGCTGAAACTTTCATGGGGGAAAAAACCATTAAGATGGGAAATAGAGGAAGAGAAAATGTTTGGAGAAAAACACCATTTGGTACTCCAGCTGGTTTTACGTTTGATAATTATGGTAATTTAACTTGCAATAACTTGATAAAAAGGGTCAGTCGGAGTAACTTTTGACATACCTAAATTGTCTATTTTTCTCCTCTAAGCTAGAAGTCCTGGGTAGCAGAACAGAAGTTTGTAAGTAGACAGTCTGCTCTACCTGGAATTTAAAAGTAAATAATAAAATTATGAAATTTTCAATTAAAAAACGCTATCAAAATGTTAATGGTGATGTTAAAGAAAGGGAAATCATGAGAATTTTAGGGCTCGGGATGCAGCTCAGCAGTCACACTGGTGTTACATGCTCACACTGGTCTCACGTGCCCGCACTGGTTTCGCACATGCGCACTGCTCTCAAATGTGTAGGCTCTAAACTCAACCCCAAGAGCTGTTATTGCTGTGTTTCAAAGAACTTTAGAGGTTGAGAACTAAAGATCAATTCAGAGTAATTTAACTTTCCTTAACCCTTACTCTCCCGCAACACTGCCTCTTCCTCCTTATATGCCTCTCCTAGACTCTTCTCCAGTAAGTTCCATTCAGAACAAGATTCACAGCAAAGGGGAAAGTATTACAACCCTGCTGAGATAAAAGAGAGGGCGCAGAGGTCCCGATGGTATCTAATCCTGGACAAAGCTGGGCTGAGAACACCAATTATGGAAATCCTGAGTCATATCAAGAAACACTTTGGGCCTGACGCGTATGCAGGGATTTTCTGTTTTTTTAACCTTTATTTTTTGTGACCTACAGGTTTTGGGTATATATGATGACTTCTGGTTTTGTGATTTTATGGGATTCCTTAATGTACATCTCTGAATGTATATTTGTTTCTTATGCCTTTTCTTGGGCTCTTTTTGTTTTGTCCTATTTTGTTTTATTATATTTTATTTTACTCTTACCCCTTAAAATGCCTATTTGTGTCCCCCCACTTTCTCTGAGACAGGATCCCTCTCTCTCTCCATACTTCTGGCTGTCCTGGAACTCAATACATAGACCAGGCTGGCCTCAAACTGGGAGATCCACCTGCCTCTGCCTCCTGAGTTCTGGATTGAAAGAGCATGATGTCCTGGTTTCTTGTGTGTTTTCTAAGGAGAGATAGGAATTCTCTGGGTGTAGGAGTTCTAGACTAGGAATTCTAGGGCAGACTGAATTGCTAAATGCATCCCTTAGAGAGCATCGTCCCCAAGGAGCTCATGTTTCCCGATTAAATGGGACTTCAAGGCACTGCATGCTACAGTTAGCCAGGGTTAGAAAAGTACTGAACAGTACTCACATTTTATCAATGACAAGTAAATGGGTAATGGTACATGAGGAAAGGACAATTTTGTTCAGAAAGAAGTCAAAATGATACTGATTGATGATCACACTTCTTTTGTAATGACTGTCCATTTACATCCTCAAACTGAAATACTGTGTAATACCAAGTAACATTACTAATCACAAAGAAGAGTTATGACAACTTAGACATTAAAGACAACTGTTCCTACAGGTAGAAAAAGCCACTCCACACAAGGTTTGTGGTTGTAGAATCAAGAGAAGCTAGAGTTAAGAAACAAGAATAAATTATTTTAAACACAAACATTAAAGTAAACCCTCATGAACTAGAAATGAAATCAGTCTAACTGAAGAGTAAGATGACAGAGAGGGTTCTTCACTGGTTCAAATGTCTGTTTCCCTCATCTGCAACTTTTGCCATTGCTCCTTCTTCGTGATTTTGAGACAGGGTCTCTCTATGTAGCTTTGGCTATCTTGAACCTCACTATGTAGGCCAGGCTGGCCTCCAATTCACATAAATCTGCTTGTCTTCGCCTCCCAAGGGCTAGAAATGCTTGATTTACCTTTGCTTCTTTAGGCCATTCTATATTATTTTAATTGTAGGTATAATATTCTTATCACCTTCGTGTAAACATGAGATGGAGATGGTAAAAAAGGAAAAGAAAGACCAGGATCATGATGGCTAACAACGTTAAAATGGTCCAGGGCTTCTTCTTTAATGGCTTTCACAGCTATTTCTCTCTCTGAAGAATGCCTTCCTGCCTGCTCAGATTCATCTTTACCATGCCTCTAGAATGCACCTTGCTAGCACTGTAAGATAGTGCTAGCAAGCACTACATTTGGATTTGCCAGTTGGCTCAGCTGATTAGATCATGGTGCTAAAAAAAAAAATTTAGCCTTTACACACACAAAATGTAATGGTTGGCCAACAGAAGTGTTACCAGAAGTTCCCTGGAAAAAAGCTATGCCCAAACTGAATAGTCTACTGAATTTCTACTGTGACTATAGAGAGTCAGAATGCTGAAGAACCAGAGACAAATTATATTGGGCTACTTCTGGCTACTTCAATAGGCATTTATCGTCCATCTCTGTGTCTGGTTCCTCTGACAAACAAACCTTTGGAGTATAATGTTGGTAGACCACTAGCTTCCACCAACCCAAGTGAAGAATGCTGGGAGATAGTGTCTGAACCCTACAGTAGTTTCCCCATTTTGCTGCAACCCAACCACCTGCAGCCCCCACCAGTTATTTTATATGTACACTGATTTATGACCTCCTCTTGTCTTATACCAATAACAGCTAAAAGCTCATATAGCCACTTCCATGTCCCTTGGGGCAACCATGTTCCTCGGCCATGGTCACTTACATCTGACTACAAATAAACCACCTCTTATTCCCCTTGAGACGAAAGCTCTGTTTTGCATCAACAGCTCTGGCATCCACATTGAGCCCTGTGAACAATCACCTTTCACTGGAGGTGTCACCGAGAATGGCACTAGGAACCACCACAGGCTCTTAATTACATTAGAAGATATGATCTTAAATCAACATTAGGAAATCATCATCACCTTCTCATTTTAAAGTAGGGTCATGGCTCTTATTTTACTAATTTTCAGTGTACATGGTGCCTTTTTACATATATACAAAAACACTTAAATATAAACCCAAAAATTCAGAAGAATCCAATGGGCAGACAATCTTAGGAAGCCAGGGATACAGAAGAAAAAGCCAGTCACCAGATTTCACAAATGGTCATCTGAACTTCCCTGGCCATCACTCGATCTGTCATCCCAAATATCCTGTGGTCCACAAGTTCTTCCTTTGGGACTCTGAACCAATCAATAGCCATACTTGTCATTAAGATGAGTTCTGCCATCTCCACTTTGGCCTGTATCAAAATGTAAAAAGAAGAAATGTATTTACTTTTCCAAAGTCAAGAAGAAAAAAACATCCAGACATCAAGAGGAGCAAAATAAATAAGGCAATTTCTTTTAAACAGAAAATTTACTTAGAATTTTTTTCTTTTTGTTTTTTCTTTTTTTGTTTGTTGGTTTGTTCCAAGACAGGGTTTCTCTGTAACAGCCCTGACTGTCCTGGAACTCACTATATAGATCAGGCTGGCCTTGAACTCACAGAGATCCACCTGCCCCTAGGTCTCCCAAGTGCTGGGAGTAAAGGCGTGCGCCACAATACTTTTTTTGGCATAATTTCAAAATACAGTTTCTTTTTACTACTAATTCAACACTTATTAGTGGATAAAAAAACAAATATTTCTAGGAACTAAAGTTGTAATAGTTACTAGCATCTTAGAAATACCATCCACCAAAACAAAACCAAACAAGAAAACACGTCATGGGTCAATGGAGAAAAGAATCATTTCTTATAATGTATGTACACACCAGCACAAAACTGGTACAATGTCATTAGAATGCAATTCTGGGCACATCTCTGGCCCAGGACATTAGCTTCACTGCTTTCCCTACAGATGCGTCTCTATGCTTATTACTTAGTTTGTCCAGCAATCGTTATCTTTTTCTTTTCTTTTTTTTTTTTTTGGTTTTTCGAGACAGGGTTTCTCTGTATTGTTTTGGAGACTGTCCTGGAACTCACTCTGTAGACCAGGCTGGCCTCCAACTCACAGAGATCCATCTGCCTCTGCCTCCCGAGTGCTGGGATTAAAGGTGTGCACCACCAACGCCCGGTTATCGTTATCTTTTTCAATTTCAGTGTTTATCAATTTTCTTCATAGTGTTTTATTCTACTAGACAGGGTTTCTCATGTGAATATATAATGTACGTTGAGCATGTCCCCCAGAATCCCACTACCCTTTCCTTTCTCCCCATCCCATTAGGCCCTCTGTTCCTCTGGACAGGTTCTCTTCCCCTTTCATGCCATGTAAAATGCATGATTTCATGTGTCTATGAAAAGTCTAAGACCCACAAATGAGAGAAAACATGCAATACTTGTCTTTCTGAAACTGACAATTCATCTAATATGATTATTCATTGCAGAGTTGTTTGAAATAAAAGCAAAAGACTAGAAAAAGGCAAACATTCAATGAGAGAAATATTTAACAAAGTTGATGTGGGATAATGCTCTTGTTCACTGTAAAGATTTGTTACTCATATTACTTTAATAAAATACTGATTGGTCAGTAGCCACGCAGGCAGTGTAGGCGGGGCTACCAGACTAGGAGGATTCTGGGAAGACAAAAGGCAGAGACAGTCACTGGCCAGACACAGAGAAAGCAAGATGAGAATGTTTTACTGTGAAAAGGTACCAAGTCATGTGGCTAAACATAGATAAGATTTACGGGTTAATTTAAGTTGCAAGAGTTTGTTAGTATTAAGCCTGAGCAATAGGCCAAACAGTTTATATTTAATATAAGCTTCTGTGTGTTTATTTGGGAACTGAACAGCTGCAGGACGGGGTGGGACAGAAACTTCCATTTACAAGAAGTCTGTTGTAAAAAGAACTATAATACCACTCAGCCAGACACAGTGACATTATACCTGTGTGACCATGCTGGCTTTGGATTCATAATCCTCCTACCTCAATCTCCAAATGTGCACCATGAACACATACTCCCCCATCTTAACATACTTGTTCATTATATACACACAACAAAAGCTAACTAAAATAAATAAATAAATAAATAAATAAATAAATAAATAACAAGGAACCAGTGAGATGTCTCAGTAAGTAAAGTCACTTCCTGCCAAGTCCAATAAACCCCAGGACCTACACTGTGAAAGGATAACTGACTCTTGCGATTTGTCCTGTGTTCCAAATGCACATTCTGGTACACGCACGCACGCACGCGCGCACGCACACACACACACACACACACACACGATTTAAAAAATCCTAAATCAGTAACTATGATGTCAAGTAAATGAGAAATAAATCTATAAATAGCATTGGACCTCTAAATTGTGTTACATACAATAAGTAGAAAAACCCTCCATTTGTGTGGAAAAGGTGCTGAAATACACCTTATCTTCTGTATATGCATTTTATATAATGCATAAGAATGAATAAGAATCTGATACTATTTGATTATCTTTAGATGAGGCAGTTAATAAAATTTTAAATTCTTGCAAAAATAAACAGAAAAATACAAAGAACCTTACATTCCTCCTTTATCTTTAATAATTATCACTATGTGGCCAATCCTGCTTTATTTACTACCCCTGCCCAAACTTCTCTTGCCCTCCACTGCCAGAGCATTTAAAGGTAAACATCAGATGTTATTATACCTGTGAACATGTCTAAAATACAAGCCACGACTTCCAAAAGCCATCACTCGACATCATTCAGACCGTGAGTCAACAATAATTTCTATCAACAAGTATTCAGTTAGTGTCCAAATGTGTGTGACTATCTCATTACTTTACAAAAATAATTTTTACCTATTTATTTATTGTTGAAGCAGAGTCTCATATAGCCCAGGCTAGCCTCAAACTTCTGCTCATGCTGCTTCCACTCCTGAGTGCTGGATTACAGGCCTGTGCCACCACACCTGGCTTCTGCAGTGGTAGGGATTAAACCCAGGCTCCACGAATGGTAATCAAGCACTCCACCAACCAAGCTATACACTAGACCAGCATAATTTCTTAAGTGTTTAAGGATCTACACAGGATGCAGCAATGCTACTCAGTTGATATGTCTCTATATCCTTTAATTCCATCAAAAGGGAGACTTATTACACACTTTTGTGACTTTCTTAAGTGTATAACCTATTTAAAAATATAAATGAGGCAGAGAGAAGACTCAGAGGTTAAGAGCGCTTGCTGCTTTTGCAGAGGACTTGGGTTCCTTCTTCAGAACCTGCATGACAGCTCACAACCACCAAAAACACCAGTTCCAAGGGATCCAACACCTTCTTCTAGCTTCCATGAGCAACAGGCTTATATGGTGTACACATACATGCACACATGTACACACTCACACACACATATACATACATCTGGAAGGAAAAGAAAAATAAAACTCTACCTTCAGGTGGAACCCATATACAGTAGTCTGGATCATCTTCAGGGTATTTGGAAGAAAGTATGGGTGGAAACTGCAAAGAAGAAATAGACAATTTTACTCAAGAGTTGTTAGGTCAGAGACCCACTGAATAGCTCAGGGTTCCCTGGAATCTCTGATCACCCTACCTAGGATTACACCTTGTCCTACCATGTCTGACTCTAAAGATTTTTAGCTATAAGAATGATTTCTATGCCTGTCAGTAAACAAAACTGAGAGAACAGTTTCCATGAATGATCCTAACATTGGTAACTAATTCGAGGGCACATTCTCTCTCTGAATCTTGACTTTTTTCCATAAAGTCAGAGGTCAGTGTTGAGTATCTTCCTCAGCTGCTTTCCATTTTTATTTTATTTTTGAGACAAAGTCTCACCATGAAGCTACAGCTGGCCTGAACACATCACACAGACCAGGCTGGCCTCAAAGTCACAGAGATCCATTTGTGGTGGGATTAGAGACATGTACCACACACCTGTTCTGCCAATTACTTATTCACTTGTTTGTTTATCCATCCATCTGTCCATCTGTCCATCTATGTATCTATGTATGTATGTATGTATCTATCTATTGATGTATCTATCTATGTATCTATCTATCTATTTTTGTTTTTTTTTGAAGCAGGGTTCTCTGTGTAGCCTTGATTGTCCCAGAACTCGCTCTGTGAACCATTTTAGCCTTAGACTCAGACATCAGTTTGCCCCCACTCTGCTGGGATTAAAGGCATGCACCACAACACCCGTTTTTTTACTTGTTTGTTTAACTTATAAAATTATACCTATTTGTACTTTTGAGTGTGCATGCCTGGGGCACACATGGAGGTCAGAGGTCAACTTGCCAGAGTCAATTCTCTCCTTCCACCAGGGTCAAACTCAAGTTGTCAGGCTTGGCGGCAAGTGTCTTTACCTATTGAGTCACCTCTCCTACTTTTCTGACACGTGACTCACTGAACTGAACCTGGAGGCCACTGATTTGACGAGGCTGGTTGGCCTGTCTGCCTCCTCAGCACCGGGACTGAAGATGTGCTGTACCTGTGGGCTGAGAATCCACCCCCTGATCCTCACACTTGCCTGCAAGCACCTCACCAACTACACTATCTCTGCAGCTCCACTGTAAGATTCTTTAAAGCGGTGTTAACAACTGGCCAGCTGAGGCAAGAGGGGTGAGTTTGAGGCACTCCTGTACTACAAACCAAAGTTACAGTCTCAAAAACAACAAACTGAACAATAACAACAGAAAGTGTGGGTACAAGCACACACACGCCTGAAAAAAAAAGAAAGAAAAAGAAAGGGGGCGGCAAGAAAAAGCCGGCATTTTGCCTCTGACCCGGTGCTGGAGCGCACTGGCAGGGCAAGCCCGATTGCTGCTCTATGTAAGACTGTTGCCAAGGTTGGCCTTTGTCTGGAGCCTGTGGCCTTGAGTTGAGGGTGACTTGTGCCCTAACAGGCATGGGTGGCTCACTGTGCCTCTACTGTACACCCAACGTGGTTATGCTTTTCTCTTGCAAGTATGGAACACATGCTGGGCAGGGGATGCCTTACATGACCCACCCTCACTAAGAACCCTGAGCTCTGAGTCCTTAGACAAACGTCTCCACTTAGCAACACTTGCCACCGCTAGTTGCTAGGGGGATTAAGCACATCTTGTCTCTCTAGGAGCCTCGCATACCATTAGCCCCACATTTTTGCCCCACGTGCCTTTTCCTGGTGCTGACTGTGTCGGCTATCCTTTTGCTGAAAGGAATCACAGTTGCCATCACAACCTCCCGTGGACTATCCCAGAGCGCTCTCTGGGACCTGGTGACATAGTCTAACAATCCCACTTCTCATAGTTTACCACAGCTACATACCTAAGATTACTCACTGTAGTGCCGGTATAGTAAAAGACCAGAAACAACCCAGTTGTCCCTCTCTCAGGATCTGGCTAAATAGGGTTCATCCTACTGACTGTTGATATATTAGTATGATTTCCATGATAGGTTTAGAAATTAAGAATAGAAAGGAGAGCATCAATTATATTTTTGTGCTACTCAAATGACTTTGCAATGCAGACTAAGATACAAAAAAACATTAATAAATTAATAAGAGGTAGCTGTAGGGTAGATGGAGAGTTAAAAATTAAATTTAAGGAGATCCCAGAGTTCTACAAGGAGAGAAGGCTACTAGAGACTCTAAGGCAGTCACAGACCCATGCTCGCACTTACTTTGCTTGGACCAGAAGCTTTCTTTTTCTTCAACTCATCTCTGTTTTTTTCACACTCTCTCCCTGGTGCTACTTAAGGGGAAAAAGTAGAAATAGCTGTTATCAGAAAAAATAAAAGTGCTCCAGAAAGACGCTCCCTGAGATGGCGCTGTAACTGAAGTCACAGACACCTCGGTGACTGGCACGTCCTCAACTATGGGATGGATATTAAGGCCCAGAGAGCTGGCTTGGTGGCTAAGAGTACTTGCAGGAGAACCACAATGGGCAGCTCCCAACTGCCTGTAACTCCAGCTCTAGAGGACCCAACACCCCTGGATTCCATAGGCACTGGCACTCATGTACACACATAACTAAAAATAAAATATATCTTTTTAAAAACATGTAAGAGTGCTTGCTGCTCTTCCAGAGGACTAGAATTTGGTTCCCAACACTCGCCAAGCATCTCACAAGCACCCATATAACCTAGCTCCAAGGGAATCCAATGCCACCTTCTGGTCTCTGCAGGTACCTGTATCCATGCGGCATACAATCACAGACACACATATACATAAACTTAAAAATACACAGGGGTTGGAGAGATAGTCAGCAGTTAAAAGCATATATTAATCTTGCATGGGCCCGAGTCTGGTTCTCAGCACCCATTCAGGCGCCTCACAACCATCTGTAACCCCAGCTACAGAGGGATCCAGCCCCTCTGGCCTTCAAGAACAGCAACACACACACACACACACACACACACACACACACACACACACCCCCCACACAACTCAATTTTAAAAATAAAGTAAATCTTTTTATATGTATGTGTGTGTGTGTATATATATATACATTCATACACACACGCCCAAATGAGAATTTTCCTTTTACTGATATCTTTCAGTTTTTAAATACCAAAGGAAGGCTATAAGCTCAAATACGAAGAACCTGCTTTTACTCTTCATGGTTTGACTATAATATGCAAACCCAGAGAAAAGCAGTTTTCTAAGTAGGCCAATCTACCAGCTGGGTTATTACTACAGGTTCGATTCACTGGACTGAAATGCGGTGCTGGATGGGCACCTTCTACCTGGTCAGAGAAGCATGAGGCGTTGAATGCTTTGTGGGACAGATAGGGAGTCCCAGGAAATAGGCTACTAAGATGGCACCAAACAAACCTCTGTGCATTCTCACCTTGTCTAGGGCCCGGCTGTAGCATTTATACGGCCTGTATCTGTCCCGCCTCCCGAGGCAGTTGCTGCCACCTCCTCCTCACAAACCAGCTAGCACTTGTGTGCAGAGCAGAACGGAAATCTGCTATACTACTTACCTGAAGGGGCCTCACAGGAAGAAGCTATTTTGCCCATCTCTGGATAATCTTTACTCTGTTCCACTTGGCTGACTTGAGACAGGCTTTCTATAAAAAAACGGTGCCAGGACATATTATTGTTACTTAATTCACAGTAGAGTCCAAAAAAGCAAAAACAAGAAGAGCAGCTGTGTACTTATATGGTCTTTCAGTCAGATACCAGCAGGGGCAATTAACCTTAAACTCTCCGGAAGTCTAGCAGAACCACCAAAGTTCCACTTTAAAAGACTGTGAAGTAAAACTTAGTGGCGATTCTTATAACAAAAGGCCTTAAAATGTATATACATCTCTCTCGACTTGCAAATTCAAGTTCTAGAAGTAAATCTTTAAAAATATACCAGAATTAAGCAGCGTTTAATTATTTACAATAGCAAAACTTAATGGGGCAATGAGACAGCTCAGCAGGCAAAGACACTTGCTGCCATACCTGACAGCCTGAGTTTGGTCCCAGGACACATATGACAGGAGAGAGCTGACCCCTGAAAGTCATCCTCCAGTCTCCACGGGTCACCATGGTACACACGTGTACCACTGCCACACACAATAAAGGTCATTTAACATTTTTCAGTTAAGTTTAAAACTGATGAAATATTTTACATGTTTGAAAAGTAAAAGGTAATTAAATCATGATGCATATATATACTGGACCACTATGACTCTTAGTAAAAGAAAACCACATTTTAAAAATAATAATTATTTTATTATTCCTTATCTGTTCCACAAAGCCAGTAAGATGGTTCAGCAGGGTTAGGCACTGGCTACCAAGCCCTACTCCCACTATCCACACGACGGAAGAGAACCAGCTCACACAATTCTCTGACCTCCACATGTGTGCCATAGAATTCACATACACATAGAGAAACAGTAATAATATTTGAGGACACAGGAAAAAACAGGGTATAGAATTCCAAGTAGAATATGAGTCTATGTTGAAAAATAAGTAAGAAGACAGAGAACCAAAAGCCTAGAACAACCCCTTATCAAGCACAGATTTACTAATTATTTCATATTTAAGGTTTTTAAACCAAGTTTTAAAACCTGTGCTCTTAAGTGAAGTTATTTCACTTGTGCTCACTGTTAGTATTCAGGCATCTGTACCGGCCTGCCTTTGGAGTTCTGACAGGATACGCCCTCAGTTGCTGTCACTAAGAGCACCACCTGTTCCCTTTTAAAAGGGAGCTGTCAACTTCCCATCCCTGCCCCTCTCTCTGTCTGTTCCTCCCCCGCCCCTTTCTGCCCTTTTCCCTCTCTCCCACAGCTCCTGTCTCCAACCACCCCTTCCCCCTTTTATGATCCTTTTCCCCTTATTAGGGGAAACCCCTCTGCTTGAACTCTGTCATGGTGTCTTTCTCTCACAAGCCACCTTTTTAAAATTACAACACTGACAATTCAGAAAGACCATACACTACCTAGGAAAAATCCTAGCACTAGGTACCTTTACCCCAGTGGTTGGTCAGGTTAGTCCAATGACTCCCCAAACAATACAAGCTACTGCCATTGCCCTTCATTGCCTCCCAGAGGTTGAAGGTAAGTCCCGATGGCTAAGGACACTGCATACTTAGGACACAAAACTCAGAGACTGGAGCTATCTGCCTGGGAGCCTTGTTCTAACAGTCTAGCATCTACAGCACCAGAAAGGATTGTGGGAACTGACGAGGGAAGGGAGCAATTAACAGTCCTATCCAGCTGTGACAAGTCGGAACCAAAACAATGGGCAACATGACAAGACACACCTAACAGTGCAACAGTGGCACCAACAGCTGTCCAACTGGACTTCCGGCTTCTGCAAGAGAAAGAGAAAACCAGCCTACTGTTTTCACATACACATACACTTGATCCTCGGTGACAACAAACAGAACTGGCTTTGCTTTTTCAACTCTACTTGTAATGAACACAACTGCCCCACTAGCGAGCACAGGGAAAAGAAGATTTTTTTTTTTTTTTTTGGTATTTACGAGACAGGGTTTCTCTGTATTGTTTTGGAGGCTGTCGGTCCAGCCCAGCCTCGAACTCACAGAGATCCGCCTGCCTCTGCCTCCCGAGTGCTGGGATTCAAGGCGTGCGCCACCACCGCCCGGCGAAAAGAAGATATTACCGTGGCTTTCTGTCTCCTGAGGACAAGAGGGGTCCGCGGGAGCACTCGGGTCCTGCACTGCAGTTTCCAGCTCCGTCTGTGTCTCTTGAAGCAGCCTGTTGCTCCCATCCTCCCTTTGCTCTCCATGCCCCTCCTCCGCTTTCTCCTCCTCCTCTTCCTCCTCCTCCTCCTCCTCTACTTCAGGTTCATCCTTCATTTTCATTAAAGCTGGAGGGAGTTCTGGACGCTTGGGTGGCAACTTCTACAAGGGAAATAAAAGTATGAACAAGTAAGCAGTTATGCCAAATGGTAAAAAGACCAATCTCTTCTAGGAGGTTAGGTTAAATGTATACAATGCAAACTTTAGATTAATAAACCCCACAAAAGTCTGATAGAGACATGCCCTCCACAGGCAATTTTGTTCATCTAAGAATCTTAGTAGCCGTTTTCAGTAATTTCTAGGGCCAAAGATTACTAAACACAGCACTGAGTGTACAGCTCAGTGGTGGTATGCTTGCCTCGCAGACGCAAGGTCCTAAGTGTAGTCTTTAGTGCTACACTGGGTTACAAGTTTATCAAGTATAAAATACTTGTAGGGAAATAGAACATTATTCAATTGAGTGATAGTAGCAGGAATTAATTTATTACAAAATCAAATTTGTATTTTCAAGAAAAAAAATCATTTGTACTGTCCTCCTCCACCTTTGGGTGTTTTGAGACAGGGCCTTACTATAGTGTTAGCTAACCTGAAACTCAATATGTAGACCAGGCTGACTTCAAACTTGGGAGTGATTTTCCTGCCTCTACCCTCCCAAAGTATAGAGCTCACAGCCCCAGGCTACCAGCTAGTCCGTATTAAGCAATCCTTGCCTTTTTTGTTTGTTTGCTTGTTTTTTGTTTTTGTTTTTCGTTTTTTTCCAGACAGGGTTTCTCTGTGTAACAGCCCTGGTTGTCCTGGAACTCGCTTTGTAGACCAGGCTGGCCTTAAACTCACAGAGATCCGCCTGCCTCTGCCTCCAGAGTGCTGGGGTTAAAGGCATGCACCACCAGCACCCAGCTAAGTAATCCTTTTTTTTTTTCTTAAGCCTTTTAAGAAATCATGTTTCTTCTATTTAAACCTGGATTCGTCCCTCTCTGTAACTTCATCTTAAGTAAGTCACGCAATTCATTCTGAATCTGTAACTGGGACTTCAGACCTCTGGTTCATCACAAGTCAAGGTCCTTCAATTTCAACTGTTTTTTTTTGTTTGTTTGTTTATTTTGGGACAGTTTGGCTGTGTAGCCCAGGCTGGTCCAGAACTTGAGTTCCTGCCTCAGCCCCCAGTATGAGGCTACAGATATATAGCACTAAACCTGCTTTATTTACACACACACACACACACACACACACACACACACACACACACACACACACACTAATTCCAAGTGTGAGATCCCAACTCCTAAGATCTCTCAGAACGGGATCTCATTTGGAGATAAGGTCTTTTCATTAATTAAATTAACATAAGGCACTAGGCCATTCTTAGTCAAATGGCTGAGAAGTTCTGGGCTTAAGCCAGTAAGACTGACACCATTAGAAAGTAGACGAAATTATACAAAAGGACAGTCACCAGTAAGTCACAAAAGACACCAACTGTGCCAGCATCTTGATCTTGGACCTCTAGCATCTACAACTGTGAGGAAATAAAAACTGTAAGGCATAATAAGCTGAACTTTTTTATTGAAACCGCTATGCTGACTAGTTTTATGTCAACTTGACACAAGCAAGAGTCACTGGAGAGGAGAGAGTCTCAATTCAGAAAATGGCTTAATAAGATCAGGCTATGGCAGGCCTGTAGAGCATTTTCTTACTTAGTGATTACTGTGGGAGGGCTGTGAGGGCCCAGTCCATGGTGATGGGGCTATTCCTGAGCTGGTGGTCTTGGAATCTGTAAGAAAGCAGGCTGAGCAAGTCATGAGGAAGAAGCCAGGAAGCAGCATCCTCCATGGCCTCTGCATCAGCTCCTGCCTCCAGGATCCTGCCCCGCTTGAGTTCCTATCCTGACTTCCTTTGATGTGAAAGTGTAAGCCAAATAAACCTTTTCCTTCTCAAGCTGCTTTGGTCTTGGGTGTTCTGTCATAGCAATAGAAACTCTAATGAAGACAGCCACTTAGTATTCTACTATAGCAGCCTTAGCAAGCTAACACACAAGGTTTGGCTCTTCAGGGTGATGAAAATCTTTTAAAAGTTCAATCTATGAGTAGAAATGTACATAAAGAAAAGCACGCCGGGCGGTTGTGGCACACGTCTTTAATCTCAGCACTCGGGAGGCAGAGGCAGGCAGATCTCTGTGAGTTTGAGGCCGGGCTGGACCGACAGCCTCCAAAACAATAGAGAAACCCTGTCTCGTAAAAACCAAAACAACAACAACAACAACAAACAAACAAACAAAGCACACATCACGAGGTATAGGAGGGTAGGAAGATGATGGAACTTGAGAGAAGATGGTCTGACTCTCATTGCCAGATAGTGACATGAAGACGGTGTGATCTAGGGTCCTGCCTGGTTCTCTGTCAGTAAGACACAGCAATCCCGTGTAGTATAAGGTGTTAGAAGGACTAAATTAAGCATGGAGAATCATATGGCAGACATGAGTATACTGTTACTAACAAATAAGTTAATATGTTATTAATTTATCAAGCAAGTTAGAAACATTCCACATAGGAATTCTACCCATCCCTGTGGGTTGCCTCACAGCCTAGTACTGAGATCACTGTATTTGTGAACCCGCATCAAAGAAGCTTCTATTGCAGCAGGTGGTGATTAGCACAAATGTCAAGACAGAATAAGAGACAATGGACTGTTCAGCCCCAAATGGGACATCTATATTCTACCTGCTCCTCCCGAGGCTCAGGGATCATTACAGAAGAGAGGACAGAAAGATTGGGAGAGTCAGAGGCAGCAGACAGAATAAGGAACCAGTGTTTTCTGAACCTAGCAGGGCAGTTACATGTATGAACTCACAGTGGCTGCGACAGCACACAAGACCTCCACAACTTGGGGGGCTGGAGAGATGGCTCGGTGGTTAAGAACACTGGCTGCTCTTTCAGAGGACCTGAGTTCAATTCCCACCACTCACAAACTATCTATAATGAGATCTAGTGCCCTCTTCTGGCCAGCAGGTGTACATGCAGAACATTTTTACGTAATAAATAAATAAATCTTTTTAATTAAAAACAAAACAAAAATAAAAACAGCGTGGAGAAGGGCGGTGGGTAGCTAAGGGGCTACCAGCAAACGACAGGTGTTGGGAGAGCGAGAGTCAGTTTCCCAGAGTGCAGCCTCTGGTCAGCCGACTACACTCCAGTGGAGGGACACACATCTGAGAGCACATGGACAGCGCACATTGGGAAGAGGCCCTGGGCGGAGGTGGCGCACACCTTTAGTCCCAGCACTCTGGAAGCAGAAGCCAGCCTGGTCTACAGAGCTAGTTCCAGGGCAGCCAGAAACCCTATCTTGGAAAATCAGGGAGAGAAAAAGAAAAGACAGAGGCTACAGAGTTGGGTGAGTAGGAAGGGGGCCATGGATCTTAGAGAAGTTGGAGGAGTGAATATAATCAAAGCACAATATACAAAGTTCTCAAAACAAACCTTTTTCAAATGAAGAAAAATAATACAGTATTCCAGCAGTAAACAAAATAATATTGGGAAAAAAGGAAATCAAGGTAGGCACTTCATTCCTAATTATAACATTCATTAGAAACTAATAAACTAGCTCCAGGACAGCCAGGACTACAAAGTGGGAATGGGCCCCCCCCCCAAAAAATTACAAATGAGTTATTTTCAAGCTGACTGGCATAGATTAATTAACCAATTCTTTTGTGTATGTGTGCACGCCTGTGTACACACAAGACCAGAAGGGACAGCAGATGTCCTCCTCATCACTCTCTAGCCCATTCCTTCTGTAGCGTCTCTTCCTGGACCTGCGGGCCAGCTAGCTTGTCAGTCAGTCAGCAGCCCCAGCATCCTCCTGCCTTCGCATCCCAGGGCTGGGGTTGCATCTGGCACAGGACCATGCTTCACTTTGCATGGGTCCTGAGATACTTGGGCAGCAAGTACCTCAACAGCTGAGCCAGCTCTGCAGTCCAGGTCACCACTTCTAAGAAAGAGATGCTCACACTAAGCCAACAGTCCTTTCCCACATCACTAGAGAATAAGACAGACAATCTCCCTCGGAGACAGGACAGCTGAAGGACTAAGATTTGAACACACGCTACCTCACAACTTACCCCTACTGTTCCAGTTTTTAATTTGAATTTGCTTCCTCCTTTCATGGCACCAAAGAGAGGTAATGCAAGTTTCTTAGCTTTGTTTTCAGCATTTGCAGTCTGAAGTTCAGTCCTAGGAAGAAGAACAATTATAAATACCTATTCTAGCAAAGTCCAGGGTTTTAACTTATATACCATGAAACCGGGCTGGCAAGATGGCTCAGGGGATAAAAGTCCTTGTCTGTCAAGCTTGACAACCTAAGTTCAACCCTCCGGGCCCACATAAAGGCGAAAGGAGAGAAATGACCCCACAAAGATGTCATCTGACTTCCACATACAAACAAGTGATGGGATTAAAGGTGTGCACCACCAACGCCCGGCTCTGAACATTTTTTTTTTCAAGAGTAGAGATTTTCTTTCTTTTTTTTTTTTTTTTTGGTTTTTCGAGACAGGGTTTCTCTGTATTGTTTTTTGGACCATGTCCTGGAACTCGCTCGATAGGCCAGGCTGGTCTCAAACTCACAGAGATCCGCCTGCCTCTGCCTCCCGAGTGCTGGGATTAAAGGCGTGCGCCACCAAGAGTAGAGATTTTCTTTAGCGGCTTTATTGCAATACAATTTTTTTATGTTTGGTTTTGGCTTTATCTATCTATCTATCTATCTATCTATCTATCTATCTATCTATCTATCTATCTATCTATCTATCTATCCTTATGGGCATAGGTGTTTTGCCAATGGTGTTGGGTCCCCGAGGACTGGAGTCACAGATAGCTGTGAGCTACCATGTGGGTGCTGGGAATTGAACCCAGGTCCTCTGGAAGAGCAGCCAGTGCTCTTAACTGCTGAGCCATCTCTCCAGCCCTGATTTTGGCTTTGTGGCAGCCACCACTACTATCTGTCAGGTCTTAAGACAACAGTCTCACTCTACAGCCCAGAGTAGCTTGGAACTCTAGTGCAGATGGCCTCAGACTTTAGACCCTCCCCCCCTAAGTTCCCCTCATGCTAGAATTACAGATGTGGACCACCATGCCCAGTCTGCAATAAAATGTGATATGGTTTTCTAGTTACTTATTAGTTAAAGTTAAAACTGTTATCACACAGTCATAATTTTAGACCTAAAACACTATGGCTCCTTGGTGCAAGAGTCTCCTTTTCTGTTTTAAAGAAATATATATATATATCTGAGCCTGAGCCTGACAGTGGTGGCATTCGTCTTTAATCAGGAGGTAGAGGGAGGATCTCTGTGAGTCCAAGGCCAGCCTGGCCTACAGAGTGAGCTCCAGGACAGCCCAGGCCACACGGAGAAACACTATCTTGAAACACTGCCCCCCCAAAAGAAATATATATATGAACAGCAAGTTTGCTCACACATTCATAGCTTAAAAAGTATAAAGAAGAATTTATATAGGGTCAGGTCTCCCTCAGCTGCTGTCTTCCAGTCACCCGGTTCCTTTCCCCAGAGACAACAGATGCAGTCAGCTTTTTATAAATATTTCCAGAGACAGAACAGCAGACGCCACTTGGAGCCTCTCAGAGTCCCTCTAACAAAATGACTAGCTTCTGGGGATACTGGATCCTAAGGTCTATATTGCACCCCCTGGTCAGTATTGGCGTGGGGAGGGTAAAGTCCAAGGCCCTGGCCGCTATGACATCTTTGCCCAGCTTGTTCCCTGCCCCTTCCTCTACTTCAGTACAGATTTCTCTGGAGAGGCTGAGAGTAATCTTTAGTAAACCACTTGAAACAGATCCCCACCCCAGAGGCTATTTGTGAGGAGCCTGACTGAACAGACAACAGACATACATAAGTTAACTCCTCACCTACAGATCTTCCCTCCACACAGACACAGTGCACGCTGTTCTAATAGCTAATACATCTTTTACTACTTAATGCATTTTGATAACAATTCCACATTTCACATAAATAATTGCTTCTTTATCCTAATAGCTACAGGGTATTCTATTGTATAATCTATATTTAACCCAGTCCGTGATAAGCATTTATGATTGCTCACATTTTGCTATTATAAACAATATAATATATATTCATCATTTTCTAACTGTGTAAAAGACAAGATTCTGGAAATGGGCAAGCATGGTGGTACACACCTTTAATCCCAACACTCAGGACTCTGAGTCTGAAGCTAACCTGGTTTATATAGAGAGTTTCAGTCAAAACAACACAAACAAAAAAACTCTATAAATGAACTTACATTTCTTCCTTCCTTTTTTAATTCAGTATTGGAAACTGAACCCAGACAAGCACTCTACCATTGCGCTATATCCCTGGCCCTAAATGTTTATTTTTTTTCTTTTCCTCCTCTTCTTTTTTGTTTTGTTTTGGTTATGTAGGGGGTTGTTTTGCTTTTTTTGAGACAGGGTGTCACTATGCAACCATGGCTAGACTGAAACTCAGAGAGATCTGCCTACTGATTCTTTTGCCTTTACCCTCAATACTGGGATTATAGGAGTGAGTACACTACCACACCCAGGTCTTTGTGTATATGTATGTGTACATATTCCATTTTTTGTGACTTGTCAGTTGATGTCCTTTGGCCACTTATATTTTGTCTTTTTTGTTTTTTGTTTTTTGTTTTTCGAGACAGGGTTTCTCTGTATTGTTTTTTGGACCATGTCCTGGAACTCGCTCGATAGGCCAGGCTGGTCTCAAACTCACAGAGATCCGCCTGCCTCTGCCTCCCGAGTGCTGGGATTAAAGGCGTGCGCCACCACCGCCCAGCACGGCCACTTATATTTTGGATGACTGATTATCTATTACCTTGCATAGGATTTCTCCGTGTAACTTTGTAGACCAGGCTAGCATCAAAAATCACAGAGATCTGCCTATGGTGGTGGTGCACACCTTTAATCCCAGCACTCAGGAGGCAGAGGCAGGCAGATCTCTGTTCCAGGATACCTACGGCTACACAGAGAAACCCTGTCTCAAACAAACAAACAAACAAACAAAAAACTCATAGTAGTCTAATGAACCAAGAATCCATATTGTATCCAAGGAAAATCCTTAGCAATCTATATTTCACAAACAGTCCTTCTATTCTTAAAGATTGTCTGTACCAGGATTATGATGCATGCACACACGCACGCACGCACACAGGCACACGCTCACATACAAAATAATGAAAAAATACAAAGCAAAGTAATTATGCAGTTATTAAATACAATGATAAGTAGGACTAGATATGGAGACACATACCTATAATTCCAGAATTTGAGAAGTAAAGGCAGGATGTAATCATGTTTTAATTTATACACACACCCTCTGGGTAAATCTGACAGGAGTTGGGGGGGGGGAAGGGGAGTTGGATATGATAAAGAAAATACATTATATGAAATTCTCAAAGATTTAATAAAAATATTACTGAAATTTTCTTTAGAAAATTCAGTATTAGGCTGGAGATAGTTCAGTGGGTAAAGATGTTTGCCACCAACTCTGCTAGTCTAAGTTCAGTTCCAGAACCCAGATGACAGAGAGAAGCAACAGCCAAAAGCAGCCTCCACATATACATGCTAAATAAATGTAAAAATAAAATAGAAGTTCGGTCACTTGGGCTACAATAACCTGTTTGAGACCAGGCTGGGCCATGTGTGATACTGTCTCAAAAACAAATTTTATTTTAAACTTTTTAAAAGTAATTTATTTTTATTTTATGTTCACTGATGTTGCCTACATGTATGTCTGTGTGAGGCTGTCAGATCTTTTTTTTTTTTTAAGATTTATTTATTTATTATGAATACAACATCCTGCCTCCATGTATGCCTGCACACCAGAAGAGGGCACCAGATCTCATTATGGATGGTTGTGAGCCACCATGTGGTTGCTAGGAATTGAACTCAGGACCTCTGGAAGAGCAGTCGGTGCTCTTAACCTTTGAGCCATCTCTCCAGCCCAAGGCTGTCAGATCTTGAAGTTATAGACAGCTGTGAGATGCCGCATGGGTGCTGGGAATTGAACCTGGGTCCTTTGGGAGAGCAGTCAGTCCCCTTAACCACTGAGCCATCTTTTCAGCCCCACAATTTTTTTTTTCTAATTAGAACTACTTACTTTTTTAGTTCTGGGATCTCCGCTGGCTTTACAAGTTTTATTAACCCTTTCAGCCTCTGTTGTTCTTTCCTTAGTTCAAAAGTCCTCAGGTGAAGTTTCTTCCGAGACACACCATCTAATGTGGTCCCTGATTTCATTTCTGACATGAATGCATCTAAAGAATCCTGAGACGATGACTCTGACAGAGCTGTCCAAAAAGGAATAATACGTGTTTACAAAGACGTGTTAAAGTTCAGTCAAATCATCCACAGAGGTCATAATATAAACCAGCACGTTATGGGTGTGTGAGACCTTAGGAGGTCATTGAGGCTTCAGTCCCTAAACTATTAAATAAAAAGAAAGTAAACCAAGCAATCTTTAACGCTTTTCTAGCTTTACAATCTTATACTGTGGGGCTGAAGAAATGGCTCAGCAGTTAGCAGCATTTGCTACTCTTGCAAAGGTCCTGGGGTTCAGTTCCAGCATCTACATGGCATCTCACAATCTTCTTTAACTCCAGTTCCAGGGGACCCAGTGACCTCTTCTGGCATCCATGTACCAGACACATGTGGTACACAGACATGTATGCAGGCAAAACACTCATAAAAACATGCATAAAATAAAAGGCTATATTGCTCCTTAAAAATATCTCCAAAGCCTGAATCTTTCAGTGCAAGCCAATGCCTAGCATGATTCGCACACACTGATATGACAGGTGCTCAGTAACTACTAGCTGACAGTCTTACCTTTGCTTGAAGCCTTGAGCCTCTCAGAAATTTCAGAGAGTTCCCTTTCAGCATCATTTAGCTTTGCAACCTAAAGGCCCAAATCAACAGGATTAGCAAATGTGTTCCTTCTTATCACCTTCCTATTATAAGTTTTAAGATAATTAATTCAGAACTCCACCTAAAGTGGCACCTGGTGGAGTTGATATTCCATTTGCTTACTTTATTCTAGCTGAACTAATTTTAGAATTAAAGAACTCAAATAGAATGTGTTACTGAAACACTCAAGACATTTATTTTCATCAATGAGTCAAAAGGTAGATGTTGGATGTTTTAAGCTACATATGCTGTTAAATCCATTTCATGGCAATTTCATGGAGGTTATGCCATTCCAGACTAAAACGACACTATTCTTCTTAAGTCTCTTAAATGCCAGAGCTTTAAATCAGGTTCACTCTGGACATCCAAACTTGGAAACTTTGCTTTGCTTTTTGGGGAAGAAGCACCATATCCAAAGAATGTTCACTAACAGATCAATACAAACCTAGAAGAAAGTCTGCATTAGTGAGTAAACTCTTTTTCCCACCAACTTGAATAAAACTAGTCATTTGTTACCATTGAACTTCGAGATCACAAAGTAGTAGCCCAGCACTAGACTTCCATACTGTTTTTAGAAGTTATAATGAGCATAAAAACAGCTACTTCTATAAATAACTTGCCAGTGACTCAAACGTTTCTGGCTTCTCATCCATCTTCCCAGCCTTCTTCATCCGGTTCAAACGCTTCTTCTCAACCAGGCCAGTTCGGTCAAGGAACGTGTCATCATCACTGTCATAGAAATCCTCATCTTCCCAGTTCTTGGCTTTCCGTTTCCGAGATACTAGAAAGAAAACGATTCATAATTAAGGTTTTGTAGTTTTTGTTTTAGAGAAACAGAGAGGGGAGGGGAGAGAGGGAGGGAGGGAAGGAAAGGGAGGCAGGGGGGAGGAGAAAGAGAAGGAGGGCTGGGTATACAACTCAGTTGGCAGGGTGTGCCTAGTATGTACAAGGCCTGGGTTTGATCTCCAGCAGCACCTAACTAGGTGCAAGGGAGTCCACCTGTGACCTCAGCACTTGGGAGGTAGAGATAGGAGGGTTAGAAATTCAAGGCTATCCTTGGCTACATAGCAAGTTTGAGGCCAGCATGGTATACACAAGACCTAGTCTCAAAAAAGAGAGAGAGAGAGAGAGAACAGGAAAGGGGAAATAAGTTGGATAAGGGGGCACTTATCATGCCACTTATATGAGGTACCTAAAGTAGTCAAATTCTGTGCTAAGAAGATGGCTTAGCCGATAAAGTACTTGCCTCATAAATATGAGGACCCATGCAGATGCTGGGCAGGTGTGGAAGTGCGCTGTATCCCAGCGCATGGAAGACTGAGAGACAAGGGATCCTCAGAGCAAGCTGGTCAGCTAAACAGACTCAGCTCAGGGCTCAGCAGAAGAGTCTACCTCACCATAGAAGGTGAGGAATGACTGGAGAGGATGCTTAGCATCAACCTCTCTCCTCCACAGAATGGAGTCTCAATGGGCTGGGAGGTCGGAGAATGGAGTTAAGGTTCACAGGATACAGATGTACCAGGGGTAATGAAAAGTTCTGAGCTGGACAGTGGTGATTACATAAGTAAACTTAGTATCACTAAATTACAGTATTTTTAATTTTTTTATTTCCCCCCTTAATTATAGTATTTTTATGTTACATATATTTTACAACTATAAAAAATTAAAACAAAGCTGGGAGTGGTGTTGCACACCTTTAATCTTAGCACTTGGGAGGCAGAGGCAGGCCAGCTTGGTCTACAGAATGAGTTTCAGGACAACCAGAGCTATCCAGAGAAACTCTGTTTCAAAAAACAAAAAAAGTCAATCAGTAAAACAGAAGATGAGGCTGGAAAGATTGCTCAGTGGTTAAGAGCATTAGCTGCTCTTCCAAATGGCCTGGCTCAATTTCTAGTACCCACATGAAGGCTCACAACTATCTGTAACTTAAGTTCTAGTGGATCCTCATACACGCAGGCCAAATACTAACATACATAAAAATTAAATGAATAAAAAAATTGCTTAAAAAATAAGAAGATAGCCGGGCGGTGGTGGTGCGCGCCTTGAATCCCAGCACTCGGGAGGCAGAGGCAGGCGGATCTCTGTGAGTTCGAGGCCAGGCTGGACCGATAGCCTCCAAAACAATACAGAGAAACCCTGCCTTGTAAAAACCAAAAAAAAAAAAAAAGAAGATAATAAGAAGACCACTAAACACAGAAATAAATCAAGGAATCGGAAACTCATACATGGACCAGGATTGCCTTGAACTGCAACCATCCTCGTGTCTGCCTTGCAAATTTCAGACATGCTACCATGTCCAGCTCCCAGGATCCACATTTTCTGTTGTTGTTTGTTTCTTTTTCAAGACACGGTTTCTCCATGTAGCTCTTGCTTTCCTAGAACTCACTTTGTAGACCAGGCTGGCCTTGAGTTCACAGAGATCTTCCTGATTCTGCTCCTGAGTGTTGGGACTAAAGTTGTATGCCACCACCACCTGACTTAGTTTTCTACCCAGGATTAGTTAATCCACCACCAGGATTTAGCTTCCTAAAAGAATATTCACTGAAAATGTCTAAGATAGCCGGGCGTTGGTGGCGCATGCCTTTAATCCCAGCACTCGGGAGGCAGAGGCAGGCGGATCTCTGTGAGTTCGAGGCCAGCCTGGTCTACAGAGTGAGTTCCAGGACAGCCTCCAAAACAATACAGAGAAACCCTGTCTCGAAAAAACCAAAAAAAAAAAAAAAAAAAAAAAAAAAAGAAAATGTCTAAGATAACATAAACAACTGCCTTAGGATGTTGAGAGAGGGAACGTTTCACTTAGGAAATTCTGTACAATTTACACATTACCGATGTAAAGAGATTACACAACCCTTTGCATTACATTTTCCTGCTTTGATTTAAAAAAAAAAAGGCTTCACATCTTCATACTGACCTGCTTCCTGCCGCAGCAACCCCAATGTATCAAGGATCCGACAAGCTTCCAGTGAACACTGTATCATTGCTTCTTTTTTCTTTCCTGAGTGAATGGCCTCGGCCACCAGCTGTTTACCAGTTGAGTCATCTACAGGTAATCTGCACGGGTTCACAGGGAGTTACAGCTCAGCAGTAAGCCCTGACTCTCATGAAAACAAGCTCTCACGATGCCATGTTTCCTCAGATGGCGTTTCAGTCAATTTCATTCTGTCTTGCCAAGGTTGAACATCGTATCATTTCCTCCCACTTGTATTCATTTCACCCCAGATCCCAGTGCCACTAAACTACAAAGGCACAAACTTGGTAACAGCCTAAAATGCAGAGTACAGTTACTCTTGGGGATGTTCTCTGCAACCACATGTTAACTTGAAATTGGCCACTTCCCGTTACAGACACAAACAAGAAAAGAATCCATGAGCTCAGTATTTAATAGGCAGAAGAAAGAGGAGTCCCACAAAACAAGACCCTGTCTCAAAACGAACAAAAAACATACCTCACCCTGCAGAGCCAGGTACTGTGCCCCTGCTCATCAAACTCATACTCTAACTCTTCTCCTGCAAAAAGAAGAACAATTTTTGTAAGATCTAAACATTACAGGTTGAAACAATAAGAACAACAGTTAAAGGCACCAAGTTTCACTAACACAACAAGCACTAAATTTCAATACATTTCACTTATTCTTAAGGACATCATCTGGAAATAAGACTAGAATGAATGTGACATGAAAAAAGAAATAATATCAAACCAGAAAATCAACTCAGCAGGGCCTGGTGGCATTGTCATTTGTTTGTTTTTTCAAGATAGAGTTTCTCTGTATAACAGCCCTAGCTGCCCTGGAATTCACTTTGTAGATCAATCAGGCCTGCCTCTGCCTCCAGCAAGTGGTGGCACAGACTCTTAACCCAGCTACACAGGAGACTGTTGCAGGGAGATCAAGTTCAAGGCCTGCCAGAGCTACAGAGTGAATTCAAGGCCAGCCTACACAAGTTAGTGAACCCTGTCTCAATGACAAAACAAAACCACACACAGCTGAAAACACAGCTAGACTCAGGTGTGGTAGCTCATGCCTATAATCCCAGCACTCAGGAAGGAGACACAGGAGGATCACTGCAAGTTCAAGGCTAACCTGAGTTACACTGAGAGTTTGAGTCTAACTTGGGCTAGAGTGACCCGTGTGCAGACTCGGGGGCTTCCTCAGTCATCCACCTTCTGTTCACTGAGTCAGCAACCCATCAATTCAGCGAGGCTGTCTAAGCAATAAGCACCAAAGCTCCATCTGTCTCTCTGCCTCCCAAGCACCAGGCCCAGCCTTTTAATGTAGGTTTTGGAGATCCAAAGTCAGGTCCTCCTGCTTCTGCAGCAGGCACCTTATTGACTGAGCCTTCTCCCCAGCCCTAATTTTATACTTTCACAGGTACAGTTGGTTTAGAAGCATAAACACACATTTTGTTGTTGCTGGCCTCAGAGTTTCTAGGCTGGCCTTGAACCTACGTAGACACGCATGACCTTGAACTCCTGATCTTCTTGTCTCCACTTCCTAAAGTACAGCAGGCATCAACCACCATGCCTGACTAGAAGTATAAATATTATGTGCTGAAAGCAGTTAGTTCATATATATTTCCAGTTACATACACATACACACACACACACACACACACACACAAAGCATTTTTTTCCTTATTGGTATTCAACCAATTGCAGATTGAAAAAACACTGTCTAGGGGCTGGAGAAACAGCTCAGCAGTTAGGAGCACTGACTGCTCTTCCAGAGGACCCAGGTTCAATTCCCAGCACCCACATGGAAGCTCACAACTGTCTGTGACTGCACTTGCAAGGATCAGACATCCTCACACAGACATACATGCAGGCAAAACACCAATGCACATAAAAACTAAAAAAAGAAAGAAAAGAAGTCAGGCAGTGATAGCACATGCCTTTAATCCCAGCACTTTGGAGGCACAGTCAGGCGGGTCTCTGTAAGTTCAAGGCCAGCGTGATCTACAGAGAGAGTTACAGTACTGTAGAAGGAAAACAATGCCGCCATTAACCATGTGACTTACTAGAGGCGCATACAGATGAGGTAATAAAAGAGCGGTTTACCACACCGCTAACCACACCCACTTTAGGCATGACTAAAGACTTATACGGAGTAAATACGTACGTAGGTGGTGAACTACATCACTAGCCAGGCCCGTTTTTGGGCATGGCTAGGGGACATTATGGGGGAAGGTATAAAAAGATTGAACAACAGAAGTCTTGGTCTCTTTTTCCGGCTTTCAGCTTGTTTGGTATCATGTGAGTAATTTCTACAATACTTAGTTTTACTTTCAGTAAATGTGCCGTTTATCATTACAGCATCACAATACAGCCAGGGATACAAAGAGAAACCCTGTATAGAAAAACAAAACAAAAAAGAAAAAAGAAATAAAGAAAAAACTATCTGCTTTGAGCAAGTACACTTCCGTCATTAGTCCCTAAAAACACAGTATAATGGACCATTTGCATAGATTTACAGTATATTACATATTGTAAATAATCTAGAGTTATGTTTAAAGTATATGGGAAGCTATATGTAGTTTTTATGCAAATACTATGCTACTTGATACAGAAATGTGAACATCTTCAGATCTTGGTATCTTCAGAGGATATTGGAACCAATTCCCCCAAAAGCCCTGTGAATACTATGAATGTGTAAATATATCCATAGAATATGAATATAAGGCCGGGTGGTGGTGGCGCACACCTTTAATCCCAGCACTCGGGAGGCAGAGGCAGGGGGATCTCTGTGAGTTCGAGGCTGGGCTGGACCGACAGCCTCCAAAACAATACAGAGAAACCCTGTCTTGTAAAAACCAAAAAAAAAAAAAAAAGAATATGAATATAAGAATAAATATGCATCAGTGTTCTCTCAAAGTATATCTGCTGAAACAACTCTCCCTGAGAACTTTCTTATCGCATGAAGTAAAAATCTGCACTAAGAACTGAAAAGACGAGGGGCTGTAGGGGAAGCTTCAGGTGGCACATGCTTGCAGTTCCAGCCCCGGAGACACAAGACAAGAGGATCCTTGGGGGTCAGAGGCCAGCCTGTCTAGTGTGATTAGTGAGCTCCAGGACAGAGAACGGGGTTCCTATGAGGTAGCTGGTGCTTCTGAGACCTCAGGTCTTCCAGGACACACACATTAAAAAGTACTGACTATAAAAGGCCATGTGGATTAGAAACAACAAATTCTAAGGCTGTTTCGTTTCCCTACCACTAAGTCCAAGATCTTTTGAGAAGAATGTGTTAAAAGTATTTCTTTAAGATGAAAAGAAAGACAGACAAGAGTTTTACTATTTTCAAAATAACCCTTGTGGCTGGCAGTGGTATAGAGAGCAGTTTCCTAGCACATACCCAGGGTTTGAGCCTCAGCAGAGCCAAAGAAACTGGTCACAGGGCAAAAGCCGAACTAGGATGTGGCTCCACTTAAAGCCCTAGGCAGCAGCACGGCTGTGAGCACTTCACTGTGGGGCCAGGACTTCATTTACTTACATACCTTCCCGGTCAAAGAAGCCTTGGAGAGCCTTCTTTGGATCCTTTATATAAAATGCCTCCCGGTCCTGCTGAAACTCCAAGGCAATGGGGTTCTCCTCTGCCTCGTCCTCCACAGCATCCTCTCCTGCGGGGACAAGAACAAAGATGAGAAGAGGATGTGAATGACATGCACGGTCCTTCTAGACCGAGTGCGGGTACAATTAGAAGAGCTGGCACGGTGACACACACCTGTAATCAGTATCCAGGAGGCTGAGGCGGGGGACCCTACGTTCCAGGGTGTCTGACCACACACACACACACACACACACACACACACACACATACACACCTATATTTGAAAGTGATTAAAAGAAAGATATTTGATGGCATGGGATAGAACAACCACAAATTATAAACAACTTTTAGTTTTCTAAATTACAAGACAGGCAAGACTTGTTTCCACGGCAATTCATTTTCTTGTCATCACGTTAAAGACAACATTTACTTACTATGATTTGAAAAAGCACTGAGCTCTTTAGCCTACCCTTCTTTCTCTCCTACTCAGGTCTTACTCATTGATTCCAAAATAATTTCTTAATAATTCTCCTGTCTGCCAAACAGACCCTTAAAATCAACAGTCTCTGTACTGAACATGTGGCCACTGTGAAGTCTCATTAAGACTACTTTTCCTTTCCTTCACGTTCCAACTTGAAGTTCTCCTTTAAAAAGGTATAAAGTGGGACGGCAGGTAAGATCCCTGCTGCCAGGCTTGACCTGCTTTTGATCCTTGGGACCCAAACAGTAGAAAGAGAAAACCAACTCCTACAAGTTGTCCTCTGACTGCCACAAGCACACCATGCCCTCCAACACAGACACGCAAAAATCAAATAACCCAACTTAGAGTTTCCAGAAGATCCACATCAGCACTGCCCAGCGGAAGTACGAATGTTATCAGTGTGAAAATGAATTTGCTATTAGCTACTCTAAAATGGTCATTCCTTCATAATCGACACAAGACAATGATAGCAAATAATTTAATTCTTTTTTCACTATCTTTGAGATCCTGTGAAGTCCGCACCTAGAAGACCTTCTAGTTTGGATGAGCCAGTGAGACATACAGATAACACCTACCCCACTGAACAGCACATGTCTAAGTCACCAGTGACTGATCCCCTTTCTGACGCGAACTCTAGCATGCTAATGGTTTCTAGCTTACTCTTGACACTTTGCACAGTAAGTTTGTATTTACTCTGTCATCACATTTGTATCTACAGGCCACACACATGCAAGTGCCATGGTGCACATGGAGGTCAAAGGACGACAACTTGTGGAAATCCATTCTCTCCTTCTACCATGCGGGTCCCAGGGATCAAACTTTGGTCATCACAGTTGGCAGCAGACACCTTTACCCGCTGAGCAGTTTCATCAGGCACAACTGCTTTCTTTTCTGGTTTTTGAGACAGGGCCTCTCTATAATGTAGCTCTGGCTGGCCTGAAACTCCATACGTAGATCAGGCTCACAACACCCTGTTATCCTCTAACTTCTATCTTTCCATAGACCCGAGCATCCATCCTTCAAAATGTTTGGTGCTTGTGGATATATTTAATGGTTTCTTGAATTTTGTATACTTTGTAAAAATGGCCTGAAAGGTGAAATATCAAGTGCTAGTTCTTAGTCAAAGGAATGAAGTAAATTTTCCATGCCCTCTAGAGATGTGTGTGTCTATGTGTGTGTTTAAGTGATGAAAGCAATAAGCAAACTGTATGGTGAGAAAGTGTATGTACATTGTCCACCATTTAAGTTTTCTACATCACTAAAGTAGTGATCCTGGGCTTTGTTTACTGTATTCGCAAATGATGTTTGTCCTACATCTATATCAAAGAGCCATGAAGAGCTGCATGATGAAAAGCATGTAAGGGCAACGCTAGTAACGGACGCAGAACTTTCACCTGCAAAATCTTACCCATTCCCCACGTGCAGCCCACGTCATCATCTTGAGTGCCAGTATTCCTCTTCCCCTCGGTGGTATCTGTTTCCTCTCCTTCATCTGAGTCTTCACCCAACATCTTCTTCTCCAATAACATCTGTTGCTGTCTGCGCAGTTCCTTCAACTGTGTCACTGTTAACTCAGATTCAGCCTCTCGGTCTTCCTCTGGTCCCTAATGAATCAAGCGGGAAATACATGGATTCAGGAATGGAAAATTTATTTTCCCAGATACAATGCACACAAGCCTGTGGGTCTGGACTGATCCCTATGCTTTTGTCACTGGTGACTGGGAGAATCCTTTTTTTTTTCTCTCAAGTGAACCGACCTTAAAGAAAGGCATAATTCCCAGCATAGTGAAGTCCCAAGAGTCTTTAGATTTTTCTACTTACCTGAAGGATAAAGAGGCGGGTGCTGCCTCCAAAGCGAAAAACGTGCCCAACGTGGACTCTACAGTAAGTGCGGGGCGGGATGCGAGTCTTGTTGAGGAAAGTGCCATGGGTACTTCCCAGATCATAGAGATAGAAGCCCTGCCCATGATCCTCAGACTCTCCGTCGGGATCAGACCCCCGGTGCTGTAGCACCGCATGGTACCGAGACACGGAAGGATGCTCGAGGCATACGTCGCAGCTAGCAAGCCTCCCGAAAAGGCAGCAGCTCGTCCCTTTCAAGGTGCGGGTGCCGAGGATGGTGCCACCCTTCAGGGTTTCGAGACTGTAGGGGGCCGTGGCTGGGCTGCCCCACGATGGTTCTTGGTATGGGGGAGGCCGGGCTGGACCGCCGGGAGCAGCAGCTGCCCGCGGGGATCGGAGCTGCTCCCCGGGCGGACTCCCAGAACCCTCGCGGTCCGGTTGAGGGGATGGGACCTCGGGCTCCGGACAGCCAGGGTCCAGCAGCCCCGTGGGACATTCCTTCTGCACATCCTCAGGGACTGAGGGACTGGAGGCTGGAGCCTTACTCCGCACGGCTGGAGGCACCGGCAAAACAGGCTTCTTGAACTCGCTACTGACTTCCTGAGGCGCGGGCGCTTCAGCCTGAGAGGCAGTATCAGCCATCCTCAGCCTGGTGCGACCTCAAAATGTGTCCCCTCCGGAACCCAGACCGCTCGCCCTCCACGTTCCCGCGCGCGTCTCTCCTCCCCAGCCTCCTGCCGATTTTCTGGGCGGCAATATGAGAGTTCCTCTTTCAAGACTGACCGAGTTGTAAATTTGTGAATATCCCTAAAGGGGGGAGTCACAACACCAGGAAAAAAAAGCTATCGTGGTTTTGTGCAGAACGCGGACATTTTTAGGCGTTGCAACCGGCTTGTAATAACTTCCTGTGGCATAGGGAGCTTGAAAGGAAGCGCTTCCGGCAGCCTTGGCCCATTAATCAATAAACTAGCCTCCTAGGCTGGATCTAGTCGTCGCCTCGACCCTGTCAGAGTCGGACAGCCGCGTAAACCGCTCCTGGCCCACGGCGGTGAGTATTTGCGCCTTATTGTCGGCTTCAGGTCCAGAGTTCGCCCGAAATCAGACTTCGTAGGATCCTGTGATTGGCGCCTACGCCTACTGATGGTAACCACGGAGCCCCGACCCTGCACCTCCCGAACTTAGACTTGATACCCCTTTTACTCCTTTTATGAAGGCAGGGATGAGGGCAATTTCTAGTTAGTTAGCACATTCTTTCACTATTCTCGGAGCGAACTATTGAGGCAGCAGGTTCAATGACTTTATGAACCTGGGCATTGAACCCCTATTTTCTCTTTCACCCTTTGTATTTATGACATTGTCATGACACTAGGACACGACTTCCACATCTGAAAAATTAGACGTAGTAGTGTTCCTTTTTTCCACAGGATTGTTGGAAATCTGAACTAAAGAATAGTTCATATTGAACCTCTTTACAGATGCCTAGACACTATACCAAGATGGTAGCTGCAGCAGGTAGGAGAAAGCAGCTGATTAAGTCACTTAAAGTCCAGGGATAAAGCCGGGCGTTGGTGGCGCACGCCTTTAATCCCAGCACTCGGGAGGCAGAGGCAGGGGGATATCTGTGAGTTCGAGAACAGCCTGGACTACCAAGCGAGTTCCAGGACAGCCTCCAAAGCCACAGAGAAACCCTGTCTGGAAAAACAAACAAAAAAAAGAGTCCAGGGATAAATGCAAACTGATGTGATACTACAAAGAAAGGATGTGTATTGGGGGATGGTGGTTTCAGTTATATTACAGAACAAATTCAAGTCTGATAAAAATATAGAGGGTGGCAGAGGATTCCTGACAGAGGACACAACTCAAAAGAGTCAATTATGAAAATGTCTGATGTTCCCAAGAGGTTGAGTAGTAAGGCTGGAGAAAGGGATCAGCGGTTAGCAGTGCTTACTGCTCTTCCAGAGGACCTGAGTTCAGTTCCCAGCATCCACATCAGTCAGCTCACAACCGCCTTTAACTCCAGCTCCACAGAGATCTGATGCCCTCTTCGGGTCTCCTTGGGACACATACATACATACATGCATAACAATGTCATGCTACTCAGTTTCTTCTCTGTAAAATTTTTTACACTTATTTTGTATGTGTGTTTGGACGTTTGTATGTAGAGGTCAGAGGACAACTTGTGAAAGTCAGTTCTCTCCTTCCTCCATGGGGGTTCCAGGGACTGAACTCAGGTTGTCACCTTGGCAACAAGTGCCTTTACCAGCTGAGTCATCTAGCTGTCCCTCAATTTATTCTCTTTACCAAGATTTTATTTTACTTTTGTTTTTCAAGACAGGGTTTCTCTGTGGCTTTGGAGGCTGTCCTGGAACTCACTCTGTAGACCAGGCTGGCCTCGAACTCACAGAGATCCGCCTGCCTCTGCCTCCCGAGTGCTGGGATTAAAGGTGTGCGCCACCAACGCCCGGCTTTATTTTACTTTTTCTTTTTTTGTTTTGGTTTCTCTGGAACTCTTTCTGTAGACTGGGCTGGTTTTGAACTCACAGAGATCCACCTGCTTTACTCATAGAGTAAAGGTGTGCATCACCACTGCCAGGTCTAAGATTTTACTTTTATTGTTGCGCATGTATGTATGTATGATATTGTTAGAACTAAGATCATTTAATCCAGGAAGCCCCTCTGTGAGCCCATACATGCCTTTAGAGTAGCAGTTAGTGCATGCTACTAAACTGAAATATTGTGTTTCTGTTTCTCTCACCTCAGGACAAAGAGTTTGCACCTTCACACAATGTCTGGTGTTCAGTGGGTGTGTACTGAACCTGGAGTCATATAGGCAATGAAGAGGCAAATTGGAGACACAGCGTAAGTTTCACTGAATGGCAAACCATGGAATTCTGACTTTCTCCAAGAGACAACAGGATGCATTCAACTGGGGTTTGTCTGAGACAAAGAGGCAAAACAGGAAAGCAGGCTGGAGGCCTGGCTCAGTGACAGAGCACTTGCCTAGACTGTGTGCAGTCTCTGTGCCATACAAAGAAAGGGAGAGCAAACCCAGCACGGTCAGACTCTGGGAAGCATTAGAGGAAGGAATACTCATCAGAAGGCAGCTGAGGTCAGCTCAGTCTATACCGTACTGCCATTGCAAACATGAGGATCTGAGTTCTATCCCCAAACCCTTAGAAAAAACCCAGGTATAGTTGCACACGCTTATACACTTAGTTCTGAGGAGGCAGAAACGGGTGGATCCCTGGAGCTCACTGGTCTAGAATGATCAGCAAAACCTTAGGTTCCAGTGAGAGGTCTGTCTCAAAAAGCAAGATAGATGATAGCTGAGGATCAACTCCGTCTGGCCTCTGGCCTCCATGTGCGTGCATACACAAGGTAATCTGTTGTATTCTTCCATATGTCCCAATTGGGAAGCCTAAGGCTAGATTAAAGGTTCAGGGATGTTTCCACCAGGACAAATTAAAATATACTCAGGCACGGCATAGAATAAGAAAGACCTGTTGGTATTTTTTGTTTGTTTGTTTGTTTATTTATTTATTTATTTTTATTTTTCCAGACAGGGTTTCTCTGTATTGTTTTGGAGGCTGTCCTGGCACTCGCTCTGTAGACCAGGCTGGCCTCAAACTCAAGAGATCCACCTGCTTCTGCCTCCCGAGTGCTGGGATTAAAGGTGTGCGCCACCAATGCTCCACCTTTTGTTTATTTTTCAAGATGGTGTTTCTCTGTGTAGCCCTGGCTGTCCTGAATCTCACTCTGTAGACCAGGCTGCTGGCCTTGAACTCAGAGGTCTGCATGCCTTTGCTTCCAGAGTACTGGGACTAAAGGCGTGCACGACCACATCGGCTACCTGTTGGTGTTTTTAATGATACTCTTGAAATACTCCTGGCTTCTTATTTAAGTTTCATGCTTTGTAAAGTGTTTAGGATTAGGTGTGGTGAATATTCTGGAAATGAATTAGTGAAGTGAAATAGGCCATGTATGCCAGTGTCCCAGACGCCATTGCTGCTATTCATCCACTAATGACTCGAATGCTCTTTTGTCCTTCAGTTGAAGAGGAATTGTCATTGTGTGATTGGCATCTGACAATTATTTTTCTCCTAATTTTCTCAAGGAGAACATGGTTTGTCCCAGAGTTTTGCTAACACCTTTTACAAAGTGATCTTAACTTGCTTTTTATATAATAACTGCCTGAACTTCATATTTTTCACTACAGAAGCCTATGATCTACAATTGCCAGAGGCTTAAACACATTACCTTAGGGTATCATCTACATTAAACCCGAGAGCTCTTCTCTACTTGCTCTAAAATGTTGAGATACTGGGGAGAGATACCAATCCCATCAGGACAGACCAACAGAAGCTCCTTCGATCTGCTCCCACGGGAGTTCCGCCTGGTGGAAGTCCATGACCCACCCCTGCACCAACCCTCAGCCAACAAGCCCAAGCCCCCCACCATGCTGGACATCCCCTCAGAGCCGTGTGGCCTCACCATCCACACCATTCAGTTGATCCAGCACAACCGACGTCTTCGCAACCTCATTGCTACAGCTCAGACCCAGAACCAGCAACAAACGGAAGGTGGAAAGGCTGAAGAGAGTGAGCCTCTTCCCTCTTGCCCCGGATCACCTCCTCTCCCTGATGACCTCCAGCCTTTAGATTGTAAAAATCCCAACGCACCATTCCAGATCCGGCACAGTGACCCAGAGAGTGACTTTTACCGGTAAGACAAAGCGTTGCTATGTTATCTGTTTCTTAAGTGTCATGTGTATCCCATGTGGTTGTCCATACCCCCACACCTCCACCCTCTGTTAAGCTTACAGGAGCTTTTCCACTTCTGCATGAGGAAACAGAGGGCGTGAGTGATTGACTTGCTAACGTTAGTGGAATGTCTCGAGTGTTAGTCCAAATCTTCAGAATTTAGAGTCTGTAGTTTTTAATTTTTCTAATACAGTAAGCATTTATTGAGTGCCTGCTAGTGACAGACATTTTACTAGACATGAAGTAATACACTGATACATAGAAGGTAAAAAGTGGGCTGGGGTATCGCTCAGTGGTAGAACAGTGGCCTAGCAATAATAATAAGAAAAACCCTGTGACAGTCAGCACCGCAGTACCAGTCACATTTTTTAGGGTAATATAGTCTCATTCAACACAATAATGTTGTTGATCCTATTAAATTCATGGTATTACTATAGTCTTACAGTTTTTCTTGTCAAGACTCTGTTTTAATTGTTAACGAGAACAGTCGCTTAGTCACTAAGGTGGTTGATGAAACTCTGTGTTCTGTCTCCGGAACCATGTAAAAAGGCCAGGCATTTATAATCTCAGCACTGGGAAGACAGAGACAAACATCCCTGAGACTCTCTAGCCAGTCAGCAAACCCCTTTGGTGAGCTCCAGGCCAAGGAGAGACTCAGCCTTAAAAATACAAGGCAGTAAGGCTGGGCGGTGGTGGTGCAAACCTTAATCCCAGCACCCGGGAGGCAGAGACAGGCGGATCGCTCTGAGTTCAAGGCCACCCTGGTCTACAGAGTGAGTTCCAGGACAGCTAGGGCTACACAGAGAAACCCTGTCTCAACACCCCCCCCCAAGAAATACAAGTCAGTAGCTGAAGAGATTGATTAGTCAGCAAAATGCTTGCCATGAGAACCTGAGTTTGAGAACCCAGTTAAAAAGCATGTGGTGTGAGCTGGGCGGTGGTGGCACACGCCTTTAATCCCAGCACCAAAAAAAAAAAAAAAAAAGAGAGAGAGAAAAAAGCATGTTGTGCATAAGTTCATATGGTTTCAAGCTGTGTATGCTTTGGGGCTGGAGAGATGGCTCAGAAGTTAAGAGCACTGGCTGCTGCTCTTCCAGAGGTCCTGAGTTCAGTTCCCAGCACCCACATGGTGGCTCACAACCATCTGTAACGAGATCTGGTGCCCTCTTCTGGCATGCAGGCAGAATATTGTATACTTAATAAATAAAATAAATTTATTTAATAAAAAAAAAGTTCATATACAAGCTGTAGCTCAGTGGTAGAGCACGTGCCCGCCCTGGGTTCAGATCCCAACTCTACAAGGGAAAAACAAAAGTTCATATATTGTTCAAATCAAGTGATAGTAATTTGCTCTTTATTAGGCATTTCTGATGCTTTTAACCTTTGGCCATGGACATATTAGATGAAAAGTTAGTTGCTGTCTTCTTTCTCAACTATCCGTGATTTACAGTGTTGCTATTGAGCAGTTATAGTTAAATGCATGAGTGGCTGGCTCTTCCGGCACAGGGCGTGGTGACAAAGGATAGCAATTTTCTTCTCTGCTTTATTTGTATTTACAAAATAAGCTGCTTTGCCAGAGGGAGGCAGAAGGCCGATAAGAAATGTTCAGAGGGCTGGGCGTTGGTGGTGCACGCTTTTAAACCCAGCACTCGGGAGGCAGAGGGCCGATAAGAAATGTTCAGAGGGCTGGGCGTTGGTGGTGCACGCTTTTAATCCCAGCACTCGGGAGGCAGAGGCAGGTGGATCTCTGTGAGTTCGAGGCCAGCTTGGTCTACAAAGTGAGTTCCAGGACAGCAAGGACTGTTTTTTGTTTTTTGTTGTTTTGGTTTTTTTTTTTTTTTTGAGGCAGGGTTTCTCTGTGGCTTTGGAGGCTGTCCTCCAAAGATCCGCCTGCCTCTGCCTCCTGAGTGCTGGGATTAAAGGCCTGCGCCACCAACGCCCAGCGGCAACAAGGACTATTACACAGAGAAACCCTGTCTGGAAAAAACAAAAAAAGAAAGGAAGGAAGGAAGGAAAAGAAATGTTCAGAGGGGTTGGAGAGATGACACAGGGTAAGAACACTTGTTGCTCTTAGAGAGGACCCGGTCCTATCCCCAGCACCTACATGGCGGCTCACAGCTGTGTAACCCCGGTCCCTGAGAATCTGGTGTCTTAATTATTCTCCTGTGCTGTTTATTTTAGACATGCATTACCTGTTCAAACTGTGTACCTGGGGGCGAGGGTTTCAGGGGTATGACTTTGGGTTGCTGACACATACCTTGAGAAGAGCAGGATGAAGGTGACGTTTTCCTGAAAAGGTGGGCCAGCGATTACTGGAATTGTAAAACTCCCAGGGAGACAGGTTGGTCACCCCTTGCAAGTAAACAAATAACACTACCATGTCTCCACTTGCAGTGGAAAAGGAGAACCAGTGACTGAGCTCAGCTGGCACTCCTGCCGACAGCTCCTCTACCAAGCAGTGGCCACGATCCTGGCCCATGCAGGCTTCGAGTGTGCTAATGAAAGTGTCCTGGAGACCCTAACTGACGTAGCTCATGAGTACTGCCTTAAGTTCACCAAGCTGCTGCGCTTTGCCGTGGACCGGGAGGCCATGCTGGGACAGACCCCTTTCCCTGATGTCATGGAGCAGGTTTTCCATGAAGTGGGCATTGGCAGCATGCTCTCGCTCCAGAAGTTCTGGCAGCACCGCATCAAGGACTATCACACTTACATGCTGCAGGTGAGGCGCCTGGGAGAGGAGGGCAAACGTGCCAGTCTGGGGGTGGTCAGCAGAGACCACAGCTGGAGCTCGGCGCAGGGCAAGGATGTCAGTCTGGGGGTGGTCAGCAGAGTCCACACCTGGAGCTCGGCGCAGGGCAAGGATGTCAGTCTGGGGGTAGTCAGCAGAGTCCACAGCTGGAGCTCAGCGCAGGGCAAGGATGCCAGTCTGGGGGTGGTCAGCAGAGACCACAGCTGGAGCTCAGCGCACTTGGAGCTGAGTGAATTTAACCCACTCTTCTCACTGCCTGTTGGTTCTCTGCCCTCACACTGGCCCAGGGAGATGCTTAGTGGTGTCCGGGTGCCTGGCCTTGCACACCCTAGGCGTGCACCCCCACTGGCCCGCACGCCCAGCCCTAGAAGTAGCAGTTTTAGAATTCATCTTTCAGGCTGGCTCAGTTAGTAAAGTGTTTCCCTCAAAAATGTGAGGACCTGATTTAGATCCCTAGAACCAGTGAGAAAGCCAGGTGTGGTGTGGAATCCCAGCAATGGTGAGATGGAGGGCGGAGACGGGGACTCCTGGAGTTCACTTTCTCAAACAAAAAGTAGAAGCACCTGAGGAAAGACAGCTGTGGGGAATCTTTGACCTCCATACACATGCACTCAGCATGTGTGCATGCATACACACCACACACACACATGTACATATTCATGTACACCTACCAAAAAGAAAGGAAAACAAACCGAAGTGCAACCCATCTGCTAACTTGTACTCTGAGGGTTCTCCCTCGGTTACCACAAGTTGACTATCCAATCTAATTCTAAAATATCCTTGGAAAATTAACTCTTGCTTGCCAACAGATTAGTAAGCAGCTGTCTGAAGAATACGAAAGGATTGTCAACCCTGAGAAGGCCACGGAAGACACTAAACCTGTGAAGATCAAGGAGGAACCTGTGAGCGACATCACGTTTCCGGTCAGCGAGGAGCTGGAAGCTGACCTTGCTTCTGGAGACCAGTCCTTACCCATTGGAGTCCTCGGGCCTCAGAGTGAGCGCTTCCCATCCAACCTGGAGGTGGAGGCTTCGCCACAAGCTTCGAGTAAGGAACAGAGTGCATTCGTTTGGATTCTAGTTCTGTCCATCTGGGCTCGTACCGACACTTTAGAATCAATCTAGAATGTGGGAGAAAAGCAGCATGCGTGGGCAGAAGGAACGGTGCTGGAACAAACAGCTGTGGTGAATCCTGTACGGTACACTCTGGTGTAAGTAGCTGTCTCCTTGATAGAGACGTCCACCAAATTGCAGACACAGGGAATGAAACTGTTCCACCTGTGTCAATGAGCTGGTCTCTTGTAGGTTATAGCTGTGATGACATTAGGAACCTGGGCAGTTGGCTTGTTACTTTTTTATTTTTAGGCAATTATATTTTTATTTGTTCATTTCGTTGCTGAGATAGTCTAGGTTGGTCAGAAATACAAGTCTTCCTGCTTCAGCCTCCCTCATGCTGGGATTACTGTATATACTGCCCACTGCCTGCTTCATTACCTGAGTCAGTTAAATTGCAAATTAGTTTGGATACTTACTTGTTTACAAACATAAATGCATAAAAAATTAAATATCAAATCCTCAAATGTGGCCCAAACAAAATGAGACCAGTGTTAGACATGCTGAAGAGAGGCTTTTCACCAAGGAAGAGGTGACAGTTAACAGCAGAGCTGCCTTACCAGAATACAGAGAAGTAGGGGACACTGGGGACCGTGTCTCTTGTCAGAAGGGACAAGCGTGGAACTGATGTCAGCATCTTGTAGTACCATAGTACTCAAAATGCAGGAGAGGCCCAGAGAGATTCTCAAAAGGCAAGAAAATAAGACCACCCCATGAAAAGAAGGAAAGTGAGTTAGGGAGATAGCCCAGTGGGTAAGAAAACTTGTTGTGTATTGTGTAAACATGAGGACCTGAGTTTGATTCCCCAGAACCCATGCAAAAGGTATGGATGGCTGTGTATGTAGTCTTGACATTGAGAAAGGACACAGGTGATCCTAAAGGCTTGCTGGCCAGCCAGCCTTGGGAAAACAGTGAGTTTTCAAGGCAGTAAAACAACAACAAAAGAAGATACTAGCATCCTTCTCTGGTTTCTGCATGCATATGGATGGGCACACATACCTACAGGCTTATTTGTATAACACACGTGAGCGCACACACAGACACACACACACGGGAAGGACAAGGCCTGGAACTATACCTTTGAATATAATTGTCCGCCCAGTTTTACTTTCCTGATATAGAGAAAATGGGGATGGGTGAGTAGGTGAGGTGAAGGAAAGAAAAATGAAAGTAGAAAGGAAGTTGGTAATTTGGGAGTGACGTAAACTAACGGTGCCATCCTCAATCCACGTGTGGAACAGCAATGAAAACAGCGCAGAGGACGCCATCAGCCCTGGATGGGATATTCACTTGTTCTCTGCGGCTCAGCCCGGGGCTCACGCTTTCTTTCCCTTTGTTTCTAGGTGCAGAGGTAAATGCTTCTCCTCTGTGGAACCTGGCTCATGTGAAGATGGAGCCTCAGGAAAGTGAAGAAGGCAATGTGTCTGCACATGGGGTGTTGGGCAGCGACGTCTTTGAGGGACCAATGTCAGGCATTAGCGAAGCGGGGATCCCTCAGAGCCCCGAGGACTCGGACAGCAGCTATGGCTCCCACTCCACTGATAGCCTCATGGGGTCCTCCCCCGTTTTCAACCAGCGCTGCAAGAAGAAGATGAGGAAGATTTAACTGCAAAGGCCACTCCCAGTCCAGACGTACATCAGCAGAAAACCTTGATGTTTAGAGTTTCCATAAATGGTGATTGGATTCTAATTCTTTTTTTTTTTTTTTCTGTTTTTACGAGACAGGGTTTCTCTGTATTGTTTCGGAGGCTATCAGTCCAGCCCGGCCTCGAACTCACAGAGATCCGCCTGCCTCTGCCTCCCAAGTGCTGGGATTAAAGGCGTGCGCCACCAACTCCCGGCGGATTCTAATTCTTAAACACGTTGGGCTTTCCTAATTTCAGAGAACAGGCTCTTAGCCTGGTTACATTTCATTTTAGAGTCGTTTTTGTACTTTTTCAGAACAACTAAGCCACTACTCACAGACAGATTGTGATAATGGCAGGAATCAGACCAAAGCACTGTCCCCAGCTGTTCTTTTACTGTGTGCCAACACACATTTCTTGAGCGCTCCCGTCAGCCATGCCTCTGACACAATTGAGAAGAATCATGCCACTCTGATATTCCCTGAGGAGGTGCAAAGCTGAGATGTTCTGCTTAAACATCAAAGCTTGAAGATTCATGTAAATATATGCCATTATAGATGTCAGGTTTTCATTAATTTATTCTGGGTCAAGTCACTGGGAATCCAGTAGTAATGCAGGAAATACCTAAGCATAACAAAGGTCATCATAAGTCATGTTCCCAAACTATTTTTGCTAATGAGAAGCCTGTAGTGACAGCTGTTATCCCACAATTCTTCCTTTCCTAGGTTATTCCATCCAGCTTCATCCTTTCTACTTTTAGTATGCTTTCTGCTGATAAAAGATTTTCAAATAATTTTCTCCAAGCACATTTTCCAACTGCTCATTTTCTCCTTTGTGAAGGATGCAAACAGGACATGCTACAGTTGCTGGATGGGCAGCCTTTGGTTTGTTTCAGGTGGTTCTTGTTTATTTGTTTTGTTTTCTTTAAGAAGACATTTGAGGAGCCGGAGAGATGGCTCAGTGGGTGAAGACACTTGCAGCTTGAGTTGGGACCCACATGGTGTAAGAAGAGAACAAGGACTGATTTCTCCAAGTGGTCTATGGCCCACACGCATGCCATGGTGCATGCCTGAGCACACACATAAATTACTTTTGAAAAAAGTCATTTGAGTTATTCCAGTTCTTTTTAAAATTCTCCGACCATTTCATACATGTGCATGGTTTCCCTTCTTCCGAACAAGACTCCCTGCCCCTCTTTTATATCTGTGTGTGTGTGACCCACAGTTTATCAGAGTTGCCTCAAGTGTGGGTGACAACTTACTAGAGCAAGAGCAACTTAGCAGCAGCTACTCACTGAGGCAAAGGACACCCCCTCTCTCCCTCACAGACCCCCGGAAGGGTGGGGCCTCAAGGGTGTCAGCTCATCAGGATGAAGCCTTGGCAGGCCTAGCTTGTGCAGGTCTTGTACAGACAACACTGCTGCAGCGTTCATGAATGAAGTGGCTACATCACATCTAGAAGGTATCTTTTTGCTGCGCATCTCCCATCCTCTGGTTCTTACATTCTCACCCCCTTGTATGATGTTCCCTGAGCATGGGTGGGGTGGGGGTCATATAAATGTCCTAATTGGCACTTCACCATCACACTTGGGCTGATGCCCACTGCAGTAAGTCCCAGGGAAGGTCAAACACAGCACCGATGTCAAATGGTAAACGGGTTTAGGCCAGAGGATGGGCGTGCTCCCTTCCTCAAATGCCAAACCAAGGTTGGGGTGAGCTCCCTGTGTTTCAGGGTTTATTATGTACATGTGTGCTAGTACATGGTATGTGTGGGGACATGTATGGGGAGGCCAGAGACAACGGTGAGCAGTCAGTTCTCTCCTACCTTCACACAGGCTCCAGGGACAGAACATGGCATCAGGTTGACATAGCACGTGCCTTTAACCAACCCATCACACCATCCCAGCTTCAGGGTATCTAAAGATGATCACTTCATGTATCCTAGACTGGCGTCCTACAGTCCTCCTGCCTCATGAAGTTATAAGTATTTTAATGTTTTATGAATTTGCAAATTAATCCTTAGCACTCTTAAAATCTACCCTGTTTTGAGCCGGGCGTTGGTGGCGCACGCCTTTAATCCCAGCACTCGGGAGGCAGAGGCAGGCGGATCTCTGTGAGTTCGAGACCAGCCTGGACTACCAAGCGAGTTCCAGGAAAGCCTCCAAAGCCACAGAGAAACCCTGTCTCGAAAAACCAAAAAAAAAAAAAAAAAACTACCCTGTTTTGATCTTGGTTTTCATTAAGTGGCCAACAGGCAGCTGGTGTATGAAAAGGGTCGGTCCACTTACTTGGGAAACATCCATTAAGCACATCCATATACAGGTTTCATATAAGTGATATGAAGACCAGACCCTTACTGAGCTGACAGCAGGAGAGGCAAGTAACATTTTAAGAAACAAATGGGTAAGAGGAGGCACCACAAAGAATAGACTAGCATGTTCAGGGTTTTGCTTTGCAAATGGTTTTTCCCCTTAAATAGGTCAAGCAAGTATGGCAGCCCAACCCTACAGACACAGCACTCAGGAGGTTGAGGTGGTCTGGGATACACAGCTAGGTCCTCTTTTTTCTTACTCTTTAAGATAAGGTCTCACTATGTAGCCCTGACAGGTCTCGAACTCACGGAAGCCCACCTGTCTCTGCCTCCCAAATGCTTGGATTAAAGACATGTACCACAAGGTCATGACATTGGGCAGAAAGGTCTTTTTAAAAAAGAAAGAAAAAGCTCAGATTTTGTTTTGTTTTGTTTTTTGAGACAGGATTTCTCTGTATTGTTTGGAGGCTGTCCTGGAACTCACTCTGTAGACCAGGCTGGCCTTGAACTCAAGAGATCTGCCTGTCTCTGCCTCCTGAGTGTTGGGATTAAAGTGTGTGCCACCGGGCTGGAGAGATGGCTCAGAGATTAAGAGCACTGACTGTTCTTCCAGAGGTCCTGAGTTCAATTCCCAGCAACCACATGGTGGCTCACAACCACCTTGAATGAGATCTGGTGTCCTCTTCTGGCATGCAGAAGATTGTATACATAATTAAAAAAAAAAAAAAGTATGTGCCACCACCACCCGGCAAGCTCAGATTCTTAGATCAGTGTTTCCCACTAGGTATAGAATATTGAATAATTAATGGTAAAATACAATTCTGTGTTGCCTTGAAATAATACTGGAGAACAGGTGTCAAGTCAAGATAAGGATACTTTGAAAAGGCAAGTTATGAGGTTTGGTAGTTGATTTCTCTGGCCTGGGATTAAGTCACGGGCTGAGTTTGAACAGTGTTCTGAGATTAGAGCACACCAGTCACCTGGAGGGTTTATTGAACAGCCCGCAGAGCACCCACCCTATCCTGCTGAAGCTGAGTTGAAGATGTATCAATAAAGCTTTCCTGGCTGATGATCTTACTGCTGGTCCAGAGACTGCAGCCTGAGAACCAGGGCAAACCCTTCTAGGTTACGTATTACTGAATGGACACCTAGCCAAATCCAATGGTCATAAACAATGATTTATACTGTTCTAAGTACAATATAAATAGGACGTGGTTTTGGAGCTGCTAGGTGAATGCACACGGGAAATTAACCTACACATTACGTCCCACCAGACCTGCCTTTAAAGCTATGTTGTAACTAACAGTGCTGCATCCATTAGTGATCACATCATTTCTAAGCTGAAATCATGACACAAAGTTAAAGTTAAAAACTTTATCCAAGTCACCATCCATACAGGATTCTTCAGAATGTGTCGTTACCTTGTGTGAGCATATCCCCTAGCAGCAGTGGCTGCCAAGGGCACCACACCTCCCCTCTGTTCAATCCATTCCCCGCACCCATTCTGATTAAAGGTGCAGAGCCAAAGGCCACAGCTACAGAGCTGAGTCCCCGGGGCCAGTCCAGTCGTCTTCAAGAGGGAAGGTCTCCCACCCCATCAGTGCAAAAGTACTTGAGTGAGTTCAATGATGCAGCTTGAAATTTCAGGCTCAGCAGTCATCAGCTTCCGGAGCAGTGAGAATACACTTCCTTGCATAAATACCGAGAGAAGCTAACCAAGGATGGGCACCCACCTGCCAGCTCCACCTTCAACCCTGACTTCGTCTAAGTCCCAGTTCCCTGAGAGAGGTTACTATCCTGGAGGAAGCTGCTAGACTGCAGCCCTGACTCCCAGGAAGGCCTTCTCTGCATGGAGAGCCAGCACGTCAGGCCTCTGGCAGCACTGGGACGTCTACTTGTTCCTCTTCCAGTGCTGTGCCAGCGATTCTTGCATGAAGTTCTGAAATGCTGGTTCTTCGCGGCTTTCCTCTGTAACTGCAAGAGGAAAAGCAATTCTTTTAAAACCCTCATGGTACTACAAGACAATCAGTGCTTCTGTCACCACCCGTCAGAATCCACATCTTAAAATTACTTTTCACTTTTTCAAGACAGGCCAAGCTGGCCCTAGTCCTCCTGCCTCAGTTTCCACCACTGAGGTTACAGGCATGTCCCACCACACCTAGCTGAAACTACTTTTAAGGAGCTAAGTATTCACATCCTCCATTAATGAAATGGCTTCCAGAAGTTGCCAAAGCATGCAGCATCTAAGTAAAGAGGACATCCTCTTCAGAAATAACTCAACTGAGGGCTACTCAGGTAGGCAAGAGACAGAAAAATATCTATAGTGATTTACCTACTGCCTAAACCACCCAAGAGCTAGGAATAAAGTAGGGAACACCACATTAGACTGTTAAATATTCAAAACACTTGGACTGGAGAGGTGGCATCTGCTGCTCTTGCATAGGCCTGGTTTTGTACTCAGCACCCACATGGTGGATTACAACATCTGTACCTCCAGTTCCAGGGGACTTCTGACCTCTGCAGGGACCAGGCATTCATACAGACATGCAGACAAGACACATACACACATAAAGTAAAAACAAATACATCTTTTAAAAAGTCCAGCACTGCCAGGCAGTAGTGGCGCATGTCTTTAATCCCAGCACTCGAGAGGCAGAGGCAGGCAGATTTCTGTGAGTTTGAGGCCAGCCTGGTCTGCAGAGCAAATTCCAGGCCAGGTTCCAGAGAAACCCTGTCTCAAAACAAACAAACAAACAACAAAGCCAACAGTAATGACCCAAGATAAAGCTCAGTGGCACATGCTTTTAGCAAGCAAGAGGTCCTGGGTATACCCCTATCACAATTAACCAAAACGGCAGTAACAGATTGAGTCTGAAGTTACAAGACATAAAAGGCATGCTACCGGGGTTTTGGTGTGGAAAGACCCTGCCCACTGTGTGTGGACCGTTTCCTAGACAGGGCTCCTGAACTTTATGAGTGGAAACTCAAGCTAATGGCATACAAACAAGTGAGGATGTATGCATGCATTGCTCTCTGCTCCACTGTGGGTGTGACAGGACCAGCAGTCTGAAGCCCCTGCCTTGACTTCTCCATCATGATGGAGCCTGAATTATGAAATAAACCCTTTCCCTACTAAATTGCTTTTTATTGGGCTATTTTGTCACAGCAAGGGAATGAAATTAGAACACGTAGCAAGGCCAGAACCCTTCATATAAGAAACTTTGTTCCTGCCACTGACCACGAGCTCTACCATCTCCTCCTTCCTGACCACAAGCTCTACCATCTCCTTCCTGACCACTGACCACGAACTCTACCATCTCCTCTGCTGACCACGAGCTCTACCATCTCCTTCCAGACCACGAGCTCTACCATCTCCTCCTTCCTGATCACTGACCACGAGCTCTACCATCTCCTTCCTGACCACTGACCACGAGCTCTACCATCTCCTCCTTCCTGACCACTGACCATGAGCTCTACCATCTCCTCCTTCCTGACCACTGACCATGAGCTCTACCATCTCCTTCCTGACCACTGACCACGAGCTCTACCATCTCCTCTGCTGACCACGAGCTCTACCATCTCCTTCCTGACCACTGACCACAAGCTCTACCATCTCCTCCTTCCTGACCACTGACCACGAGCTCTACCATCTCCTCCTTCCTGATCACTGACCACGAGCTCTACCATCTCCTTCCTGACCACTGACCACGAGCTCTACCATCTCCTTCCTGACCACTGACCACGAGCTCTACCATCTCCTCCTTCCTGACCACTGACCACGAGCTCTACCATCTCCTCCTTCCTGATCACTGACCACGAGCTCTACCATCTCCTTCCTGATCACTGACCACGAGCTCTACCATCTCCTTCCTGACCACTGACCATCTCCTCCTTCCTGACCACTGACCACGAGCTCTACCATCTCCTCCTTCCTGACCACTGACCACGAGCTCTACCATCTCCTCCTTCCTGACCACTGACCACGAGCTCTACCATCTCCTCCGCTGACCACAGGCCCAGGATCTTCAGTCTCAACAATGTCAGCCCCCTTTGTTTCACCTCTGTGAAACGTCAGCCACCTCTCACCTCTGTGGTCAATGTCATCAGTGTCACTCTCAGCTTCCTCATCCTCTTCATCCAAGGTTCCTCGAGTCAGTATCAAGTCAGAAGGATCCAGCGCAGGAGACAGACTGTCTAGGTTAAAACACGCATCAGTACAAATGTGTTTCCAAAGAACTGACTCTTGAGTAATTGTGATTATCTGCTGATAGCACGAGAGTGTTCTTGACAAACAGAAATGCATGAGTGAGTCTTCTAAATGTATCGTTAACTGCACTTGTCATTTCTGCCAGGGCCTGGATCACAAAGCAGTTTCAGGAGCCCCCTTATTTCCACTGAGGAAAATATGAGGAACATATCCTAGAGACACCAGCACTATGCTTCACTAGCTCAGACTGGAAGAAGCTACGCTTTTCCCGATGAAAGATGAAATGTAAGGCCGCACACTGGCAATTGTAGAAGCTTCTGGGTGCAATACAGGTTCAGGGGAGGTCTGAAGAAGACACAGGGTGAAATGATACAGAATAGAGCAGCGATGGCAACATTCAAGCAGTGGGAGGGGGTAAAAAAGGGAAATCAAATATACCACGAGAGGTAAAATTCCTGCCCCAGGTCAGTTATGCAGACCCATGTATGAATGTCTCCCCACCTCCCCTATCCGTTCTCTTTCTCCTTTACACATAGATTACTGCTCAGGGGATCCACCCTCCATTCTCTCCTAACGCCAAGAGCCCTTCCAATACCTTTGCCGGTCCCTGGGTCCAGGGCTACGGAGCCCATATCCTTCCTAAGGCGCTCCAGTTGCTCCTTCTGCTGGGCACTCTGGGCACTGGCCTACAGACGGGAAAGGTCCTCAAGTTAAACTAGGAGATCCTGCGTTGGCTCAGCAGTGCGAGTGCTTGCTGCCATCCTGACAACCTAAATCCCACTGGTGGAGACCACTTGATAGGAGAGAACCTGTGAACTGTCCTTTGACTTCCGCACGTATTACCCCAATAGAAATAAACTTTTTTTTTTTAACGAGACAGGGTTTCTCTGTATTGTTTTGGAGGCTGTCGGTCCAGCCCGGCCTCAAACTCAGAGATCCGCCTGCCTCTGCCTCCCGAGTGCTGGGATTAAAGGCATGTGCCACCACTGCCCGGCCCCAATAGAAATAAACTTAAGACACTAATTCTTTTTTTTTGTGGGGGGGTTCAAGACAGGGTTTCTCCGTGGCTTTGGAGGCTGTCCTGGAACTAGCTCTTGTAGACCAGGCTGGTCTCGAACTCAGAGATCTGCCTGCCCCTGCATCTGCCTCCCAAGTGTTGGGATTAAAGGCATGCACCACTACCGCCCAGCAGTGTAATTGTTTTTAAAGGAGATCTCTGGGGTAAGCTTCTAATTCAGGCTGAGTGCTCAATAGATGTGTAGCACTGGTTCAGTCTCCAGCAAAATAAATAAATAGAGCAAAATAATAAAGATGCACAAATTAAATGCCAGCTTTTTTGTTTTTAAGGTAGAGTCTCATGTAGTATAGCCCACGCCCCCAAACTCACTATGTAACCACGGATGACCCTGAACTTAAAGGGTCACCACCATGCTTAGTTGGTGCTGAAGAACAAGCAAACCCTCAACCAACTGTGCTAGGTCCCCAGTCCCGAGATGCCACCCTTTAAAGAGGGGATTAGGAATTACAAAAATGCTAGAGGTTGGTGGAGGATGACAGATATGGAGACAAAACCATTGAGTCATGTGGGCCCAAGTGACAGCAGATTTCCAGTCGTATGTAAGTGAAAACCCAACCATGAGCAAAAAACCCTCAAGAACAGCTTGCAAGAAGGCCCTAGATAAAGGACCCAAGGCAAGCTCTGACAATGGGAGAGCCAATTTACCATTTGGAACAAGAGCTGAGAGACACCTCTCTAATCTTCAAAGTCATACAAGTCTTTAAGCTGACCTCAGAGTCTGGGTAAGGTGGGGCATAAAAAGGTCTTGGTAAATTTATTTCCACAAAATTCTGATATTTTAAAAATTCAGATACAAGGCCGGGCGTTGGTGGCGCACGCCTTTAATCCCAGCACTTGGGAGGCAGAGACAGGTGGATCTCTGTGAGTTCCAGGCCAGCCTGGTCTACAAGAGCTAGTTCCAGGACAGCCTCCAAAGCCACAGAGAAACCCTGTCTCGAAAAAAAAAAAAAGAGAGAGATCACTAGAGCCCCAGAGTTTTAGACCAGACTGGGGCACAGTGAGACCTCAACTCAAAACCAAACAGAGCTGGGCACACAGTTCAGTGTGTAGAGCAATATCAAAAACAAAGAAACAAAAAAATGCAAGCATTTAAAAGAAACATGGAAACATTAGTCAATTATATCTCGATAAAGCCAGAAAAAAATTAAAATACAAGCCAGGCAGTGGTGGCGTCCCAGCACTTGGGAGGCAGGCGGATCTCTATGAGTTCCAGGACAGCCAGGGCTACCCAGAGAAGCCCTGTCTGGAGAACCCCTCTACTTCTCATTCCTACTACCCGAATGATGATCACAGCACAGGCCAGGCCGGGACTGCAGGCCTGTGCCTTGTGTGGGTCAGAGGACTCTCTCACAGCTCCAACACACTCTCCCTCTTACCAGTGATTTCTTCAGGCGCTCGTATTCTGGCCGATATTCCCTGGAGAAAGAAATGCCTTTTAAGTTCCTCTCCTGAACAACCCATCCCACCCACCTGGACCTACTGCTTGTTTGCTTAAAACCACCAGCAACAAGACCTGACCTCACTGGAGTCCCTGCACACTATCCGTATCCCTACTCTATGCCCGTGGAACCCAACTCCTGATGCCATTGTAAAGCCTAACAAGGAAAACACCACAGCTGAGAGGCTGAGTGACTGTCACTGGTGTGAGGACACAGGTAAGAAGCTGAACTGTTGCTCAGGAAGCCCAGTGTCTAAGGAAGTGATGGCTCTGAATGACAACAGAATGGACTCCATCCTGACCCTGGGAAACACACACAAAAACCTTGATGGTTAATCAGTGGGAAAATAATGTTGCGTGGCAACCACAATGCCATCCATAAAGTCAAACTATGAAGCTGAAGCAGCATGCTAACAAGCAATCCGTGAGGTCATGGTCCCAATGCCACAGGTGCTCTCCTTTAGGTGAATGAGGTCCCACTGTCAGCAGTGACAACAGTTGTAACAGGTATTTATGAAGTGTCTCAATGATGTGTCAATAAGTGCTAGAGCTTTGCATATACTTCTTCAAATAATACAGCAACCTCAGTGCCAGATCTATGTCATGCCTGTTTCTGTAGGGGATGCCTCATAGGAACATAACCACCATGTCTTGTTTCCGAACTACCTACCGGTCTTTTGTCCTACCATGACAGACGTGAGAAGTTGCCCACAAAGTTTGTAATATCTACCAAGTGGCTCTTTTCAGTGCATGCTTGATGGTCCCTGCCTGGTAACCACTCAGACCAGTGAACACTATATACTTCTATCTTTTGAAAGAAGGGAACAGACAGCTGTTACTCCTGAGAGTGGTCAGGTCTAATAAACATATGTAAACGCAGTCGCCCACCATATGAGAATGGGGGGTATTGAGGAACACAAGAGCCTTTCCTTCATCCTCACCTTTCGTACTCTTCTGCAGCACTGGCGACTTGAACACAGAGTTCATCGAAGCCGGTGCCCACCACAGCAGAGACACCCACCACCTGCCAAGAAGCAGCATAAATTTGCGTGCTGGACAAGGACTCTGCTACCGAGCTGCCGCCCAGCCATGAACTACTTCACTAAACAATGAGCAGAGGTCACTTTACAGGATGTAAAGCATTTGCTTCCAACGCTGGTTCAAAGCCAGTTAAGGCCATGGCAAGACATTATCCGCAGCTATTATCACTATGATAGGAGATAAAATTTACCCTGAGTGAGCTGTAGAATTCATCTAACACCAGGCTCATGGAACGAGTCAGGTTACTGACATAGGTAGTCTCTTGGTTCAAGGCATCTTGGAAAGCCTCAAAATCCTGCATCCACTCCACTGCAAAGCTGTGGTCAATGATGTCGGTCTGTGCCAGAGAGAAGGCAGTCATCAGCAACTTGAATCAAAGTCACAATAAACCAAGGCAAAAATGATTTAAGTGGTGACAGCAAAGAACTCATCATCACAGATTTTCTTTCTCTGGCTCCCCTGTTCTCGGCTCCACGACAACAGATTATAAAGAGATCTGCCTTGCATCTGATCAGTAATAGACTGTTCCTCTACTGACACAGAATCCTTGATGCTAAAGGACGGGTGACTCTCTGTTTAATGGCTACTCTGTCTGCCCTACAATCACCGGGGGAGAGGTGGCACTAAATACCCACTCCATCTGGTGGCATCCACTTCCCTGAAAGGCCTCTGAGTTTGTGTAGTAAAATCTCAATGTGCTGACAGCACTTGGAGTCACTCCTCACACGTATCCAGACCTTCTAATACCAGTCGAGGCTCTGTGTCAAGGCATGTTGAAATCACCAGAGCAAGAGCCACTTACTTTGTTCATGACCACAATGAAAGGCAGCTTGGTTTTATACAAGATGCTGAAAAAAATCAAACACAGAGCCAGCATTATTAAAAGCATTTTCAGCTATGAAAACACTGCGAAACGACTACCACACTCAGGATAGTCACATAGCTGTGCTTTACTAATTAACATAGCTGGGACAATGCCATCTTTCCATGTAGATCAGGACTTCCTGCATCCAATATGATGTGTATTCTGAGACCTATCATATAGGTGATGGCTCTTGTCCATCCCCCAAATTAAGTTTTGTCAGTTTCCATAACACTCTTCTTCAACTTCAGTCTGAATTCAGTGAACCATGAAGCATCTTTTTTCTTCCCATGTAACATTTGGGATAAACTAACTAAAATCTTTCCGTTATTATTGTTCTTAATGCTATGGCAGAGTCTTACCACACAGTCTATATGGCCTCGAATTTGCCCTTCTTCACCTCCTGACTTGGGATGATAGGAATACACTACCATTCCTGGTTTTGACAAAACTTTTCATTCCTAGTGTCTCCCCATGTTTCATTTTTACATTATTTATACAAAATCTAAGCACCATTTACACCAGAGAACAATAATTACCACTTATTTCTCTGACATGCAAGCAAGGAAGATGCTTAGAGAAAATGCCAGTAGTACATGTCTCTCTTTACTGGACAATCAACTGAGTAGCAAATACAGATGATCCCAAATCCAACGGCGTATAGCCAGAACTCAAAAGCAAAAGGGAACGAGTCAGCTGGACAGCTGGCTCAGAGGTTAGGAGCCCTTGCGGCTTTTACAGAGGACTCAGGTTCAGTTCCCAGCACCACACGGTGTGTCACAGCTCTGGTTTGAAGAGATCTCACCACCTCCTCTAGCCTCCACAAATTCCTGCACACACGTAGTGCACATATATTCATACAGGTCCACACATACAAATGTTAAATGTCTTTAAACAAAAAAAAAGGAGAAGAGAAAGAGGCCTCGTAGCTGACAGCACATCACGCCTACCAGTCATCGGTTACCTGCAGGCATACAGCATATTGGACATGAAGGTCACTGGGTTAGTACTTCGTGACGTGTCCATTACATAGATGACCACTGTTGGAAATGAGGATGCCTAGAAGCACAGAATGAGGAAAGTCTTCATCAGAGGCTCATCACGCGCTCCCATACTCTTCTCCTCCCTTTCTTGCAAGAGAGAACCACTGTGGACAGGGTGTGCAGAGCCTCTCCTCCCCCTCTCCCATTCAGGCCCAGGCAGTAAACGGAGGCTGAGCCGACCCTGCAGATGCGCTCATGAACAAGACCCAGAACACTCACCAGGGCCTCGGTGATGATTGTCCCAGAAGCTGACCAGGTGAACACTTCAATCTGTCCAGGTGTGTCAATGAGCACATATCTGGGTCAAGGAGACCATTAAAGGGGTGTTATACTTGGGCAATTCTGAAGATATCCCATCACAAAGAGTGCACAATGTCTGTTCATCAGAGGCTGCAATACCCTCTGCACACCGCCAAACAGTCCTACCATGCCCTACAGCTGCACATTCCCAAGAGTCTGCTCCAGGCCCAATCATCATGCTAACGAGAAGAACCAGCACAGCACGAGCAGTTGCCAATAATCAAAGAGGAAACTGACCAGCACAGAAACACCGCCCCACCAACGAGACACGAGCAAAACCAGGATGCAATTCTCTTGGGAAACATCCCGTTTCTTAGGGACAAGGATGTAGAGTGAGGGAAGGAGGAATAGAGGGATGGGGGAATACTGCCTACAGAATATTCTAAAATTGACTGCAGTGTTACACAACCCTGTGCACAAGTCTGTGGGCGTAACAGAAGTCACTGATTTGTGCACTGGGATGGCATGTAAACTGTATATTAATAAATATACTTTTATGTTTAATAATAGTTAATGGTGAGAAATGATGAAATGCTGCCTTCCCCATCATGGTACTGTGCTCCTTCAAACAATGAGAAAGTGCTCCTCCCTTAATCTGAGTGAGGAGAAAAAAGTAAGTGTTTCTCCGAAAGTCACGTAAAAAGAAAGAGAAGTGATGGGGGGGGGTCACAGTAATTGGGAGTAATCCTCTGTATTATGTCATCTCAACGACTTTATTGTCCTCCTTTGTTTTCATTTCTAATGACTTGTTTCAGCACAGTAAGTCTAGAAACGTATCAACAGCAGGCAATAAACAAGTAGAAAGCTGAAACCACCTACTTGAATGTGTTCTGGGCCTTCTCGATAAACTTCATCACCTGGAGGAAAAGATGTCAATTACAACTGGATCCAATTCCAACACAACACAAGAGGTCACCCTCAAGGGTGGCATGTGTCAAACGCACCACCACAAAACACAACCGAGGACACCAAGCAATGGGCTCCTTGATGCAAGGAAGCAGGGACGCAGCAGCAGCACCTCAGCCTGGGGCACCTGTCCTGACCGTCACTGGGAAGTCAGGGTCCCGTAGCACACGGGCCACACGGCTTTGTTTTAAAGAGCCAGGGTCAGGCTGTGTCATCCAGGTACACTGTGGACTCCAGGCCTGTACGGTTCTGCTTCAGCCTTGCACAAACCATCCTGTCTGCTTTAGTCAAATGTTCATGTCTCAAGTAGCAGAGCCAGTGTAAAACATAACTGACTACAAGCCACTCTCAGGGGAGCGACAGAGAAAACCTAAAGGACGGCAAATACTTATTATAAGTGTCTGCCGGGCGCTGGTGGCGCACGCCTTTAATCCCAGCACTCGGGAGGCAGAGGCAGGCAGATCTCTGTGAGTTCGAGACCAGCCTGGACTACCAAGCGAGTTCCAGGACAGTCTCCAAAGCCACAGAGAAACCCTGTCTCGAAAAACAAAACAAAACAAAACAAAAAAAAGAATAAGTATCATTATTTCCCCATCCCTTGCTGTAGCCAATCCCAGTGCGCTGTACCCTCAATAATAACATCATAAGCCAATAACAGGCCAGAGAGAACCCAGGTCTCTTGGATTTTTGTTTTGTTCTCTCACAAACAATAAATGAAAAGCATTCCACCACACTCAGAGGCTATTTCTCTGTCTACCAAAATGACTGCTTAGTTTCAGTATTTCTCCATTTTTGCTGCTCGTCTTTACCAATGTGATCAAGCGAGAACACACTAAGAGGCACATTTTTACAGTGTCATGCCTATCAGTGTAAAAGAAGCCTTACCTGATCAAATCTGGTAGCAAAGAGATTGAGCGAGGTCACTATGCCACCATTTGGCCCGAGTCCATATCTGAGCACTCAATTAAGGATTTAAATTGTACATATGAGATTATATAGTTCATACCTAGATTGTCATTCATCCAGCAGCATTATGTTCAGTATTAACACTACATTCAGTATGTAACAGTATTAGTGTTCAATTAATGGGTCCTGGCAACCCAGTTTTGGACATACAACCTTAGTGTTAGGGATGGTCACACAAGATAAAGACAACAGAAAGACCAAAATTTAGTGAATACACACACGTGTCCAACAATGACAGGCTGCTGGCATCACCAGTTATTAAAATTATCTATGTAGCCACGCAAAGTAGCTCACACCTTGAATCCCAGCATTCAAGAAGCAGAAGCAGGCAAATCTCTGTGAATTTCAGGCCAGCCAGGGCTACATGTCACACTCTTTAGTCTGATCCTCACTAATCAAGCTACCTTAAGTTACTTACAGAGAGTCACGTGTCATGCTGAACTCAGTCCATAAGAATTAATCCAACCCAACATATTTTCCTGAGTTTCCTAGTCAAACTCATAGTTATCAATGACTACCTAACCCAAGGCAACATCACTTCACTGGACCCAGGCAGTTAACAGCTAGCCATTCATCTTCTGATCTCTAATTACAACACCTGTACTGAAACCGAAATCAAATGGTAAGGTAATATTGCTAGAAATCTCTAATCGCTCCTACGTTCATCTTATTCATCCTTTATCTTTTTAATACGATTACTTAAAAGGAAGTAAGTTTTCTACTTGTAATTTCACAATTTGACATGCAAACCACTCCCTCAAAGTGGGGAGCAATTCTCTAGGAACCAGTCGATCCCACAGCAGATGAGGAAAATGATACTGTTTCATGACTTCTTTATACTTCACGGTGTCACGAATATCTGGGGGGAAAAGAGAGATAATGGTTATTTTATTTTTTGAAGCATGGTCTCTAAGCAGTTCTCCTGCCTCAGCCTCCTGAGTGCTAAGGTTGTAGAAGTGCCACCATAACTGACCTGGGCCTCTTACCAGCATTTTCTTATACCTTTCTCCACTTGCAGTGGCTTCATTCCTGACTAAAGATAACCATCAAGTATCCAATGAAGAATGTTAGGCTCCTGGGTGTGATGGTGCACACTTCTAATCCCAGCACTCAAGAGGCTGAGGCAAAGTCAAGCAGACCTGTGTGAGTGAGACCAACATGGTCTACAAAGTGAGTTCAAAGACAGCCTGGCCAGGGGGTGGTGGCACACGCCTTTAATCCCAGCACTCGGGAGGCAGAGGCAGGCGGATCTCTGTGAGTTCGAGGCCGGGCTGGACCGATCAGCCTCCAAAACAATACAGAGAGACCCTGTCTCGTAAAACCAAAAAAAAAAAAAAAAAAAAAAAAGACAGCCTGAACTACATAGAGAGACCCCCCACCTCAAAATTATGATAGATATTGTGTGAGACAAGATTAAAAGTCTTGTTTGAGACCAGCCTGGTCTACAGAGTGAGTTCCAGGACAGCCTCTAAAACAATACAGAGAAACCCTGTCTCGAAAAACCAAAAAAAAAAAAAAAAAAAGATTAAAAGTCTTAGACAACTAATGGCAATGGGCACATGCATGGGGGGGGGGGGGAAACGACAAAACAAACTCAAACCAAGAAAAGACTTCTTACTAACGGCTGCCTGGTAATAAAAGCAACTCTCAGACATAGGAAAAGGTGATGTCTACTAAGATCTACCAAAACCTATCCACCAGTGGCTGGGGAGATGGCTCAGTAATTAAGAGCACTTTTCAGAAGACCCAGATTCAGTTCCCAGAACCTCCAGGGCAGCTCACAAATATAAGTCCAGTTCCAGAGGTTCCTGCACCCTCTTCTGGCCTCTGAAGGAACCAGACGCATACCATGGTGCACAGACATGCATATAAAATAAAAGCAATAATGAGAAGAAACCTACCCACCAGTCTGGAAATGAACAATATTACAATTTTATCCTTGAGTTTGGATAAGAAACTTTATGTCAATCTCCTCCAAATGAGCTATGATTCTTCAAACAAGACTTCCCCATTCCCACCTTAATTTGTGTATCTGGGTTATAAGAAGCTTACTAGGATTAACAAGTGACACTTATGGCCTGGGAACCAGGACACCTGAACCCAGCAAGAACCCCGTCACTGGATCACGTGCACTTTCATAATGAATCTACCCCCTCACCCCCCATTTTTTCCTTCTTTAAAAACAACAACAAACAAGCAGGGTTTGGCTATGTGGGTCTATATTCTACATTCTGCCTCAGATTCCCTTGGATAACACCCATACTGAATCTTTCTGGTAGTTTCAGTCAGAAACTCTCCTCAGAGCAATGTTTTGTTTTTCAAGACACAATGCATATTTTTAACGTGTCCCCTACACACACACACACACACACACACACACACACACACACACACACACACACACACACAACTTTGGGAATGGGAGGGACCTACCTAAGGATCAGAGTAAATTATAGCAGAACTCATAAACTCTTACTACACTCTGACAAGATAAACTAAATGATTTATGTCTCTCTTTTTTTTTTAAATAACCTGACTTAAAGTCACTTCTTCTCAAATCAACTGCAATAGTTTCACACGCTAAGGACAAATGAGAGAGACGGGTGAACGGAAGGAACCATGAGAATAAAGAGAGAGAGAGAAATCTCAATAAGAAGGAAGCCTGTTCTGGAACGAGGACAAATCCAAAGAAAACAAAAGTAGAATTAGCTAGTTCAGAAAAAAAAAAGGAAAACTGAAGGCACTCACCAATATTGGCGGGAAAGGGGACTTCATGCACAGCTGGGTCCAAATTGATTACGTAGGGTGGGGAGCGTTTGTTGTGGAGGTGTCCTGTAAGCCTCTGCAATAACGGGGGGGGGGTTGATGTTAAAAGATAGGAAGGGGACCAGAGAATTCCCATCCAGTTACTGACCGTACCTATAAAGTCTGTAACAGCTTCATTCTTCCCGCTCTGTTTAAAAGCCATCTAGCTCTAACCTGGCAGGCCTCCTCTGCTCTCCATCACCTCTTGACTAACTGTGAATGTCCCCCTATCTCCTTCACTAAAACATTAACTCCGTGAAAGCAAGAATCTCATTTCCGCTGTACACTCAGAGCTCAGAACGCGCTAAGTCGAAAGACGTGATTCTTCCACAACTCCTCACGCAATACCAGTGTGCTGGCATCATATCCCCCTACTCTTCACGCCGGGACCCTCAAAAACGCTGCTGATCCACATCAAGACGACTTCAGTCGTACCAAACGTGCACCACGGTTACCCAGGAGGCTGCCGTGGGTGAGCCGCGAGTCACAGGCAAGACCCCAGAACACCACGCGCCCAGACCCTCCAGTCCCCCAGACAACCTCTCCCCTTCATCCCTGGGCACAGGCAACCTGTCGGGCGCTTCCGCGCAGGGCACGTCACCTGCACAAAGGTAGTTTTCCCGGATCCCGCCATCCCCAACACCAACAGACACACGGGGAGTTGGGGAGCCCCGGAAGCCTGGGGCTCAGCCGCAGCCGCGGGCGCCGCCATCTTTCTTCAGCCACGCCCACCGCCCCACGGAATCCCTACAATCGCTGCATTCCGGGCTGCGATTGGCTGGAGAATCCGTCCTCTTGCGTTCATAGCTGCGATTGGTCGGGTGACTGCCTGCTGCACTCAGGGCTACGATTGGCCGGAATATCCAAACCGCCCAAAGCTTCAGGGATCCCGAATGGATTTTTGGCATCGTTACTCCGTGGGTCTGTTTAGGTGCTGTAGCTGCCAAGCAGGGGCTTTGGACAAGTGAGAGGGGAAGTGTAGAGAACCAGGGAGAGTGATATAGGTGAGTTTATGTGAAAATTATTTTGCTGGCAGCAGACATACAGTTCAGTTAGTTTAGTTGTGGCGACATTTACATTTGGCATCTTTTTATTACGGTTATGTGTGTGAGTGTACATGTATATGGGCATGCATGCCATCGTTTGTGTATTGGTTGGAGAACAACTTGTGGGAGTTGCCATTCCCCACCATGTGGGTTCCAGGGATCGAACTCAGGTTGGCAGGCTGGACTGCAAGCACCTTCATTCCCTGACCCATCTCTTGGCTATGCTATCAGCAAAATGGCAGAAGCTTTGTATGGGGAGATTCTCTAGTGAGCTTTGATGTCTTCTTTACTATTGTACAAATTTAGCTCCCGAGACCTGCTGGGCATGATGGGTAATTCGAGGTGAGGGAGGCGGGGTGCCTGAAATGGATCCTGCCTCCTGCCCTCGCAACACCCCTAAGGGATCTGAGGACACAATATAGATTATCCTGACCACACTGTTTTCTAAAATTTCAATGGGACATGACCAACCAGGTCGTTGATATTAACATGACTCTCAATATGGTTCTGTCCTGGTTAGATTTTAGTATCAAATTGATACAAACAAGAGTCACCCGTGGGGAGAGTCTCAGTTGAGGGGTTACCCATATCAGATCGGCTTGTGATCATATCTATGGGTGCCCTAGCTCATGCCTGTAACTGTAGCACCCAGACACAGGTGGATTTGCCATGAGTTCAAGGTCACATAATGGCTACATAATGAATTCCAGGGCAGCCTTGGATATCAAGTGAAATCCTGTCTCAAAATACAACAGAAAAATAAGATATCTCTCATACCTCTTTTTTCTTTTTCTTTTTCTTTCTTTTTTTTTTTTTTTTTTTTTTTTTTGAGACTGGGTTTCTCTGTATTGTTTTGGAGGCTGTCCTGGAACTCACTCTGTAGACCAGGCTGGCCTCGAACTCACAGAGATCCGCCTGCCTCTGCCTCCCAAGTGCTGGGATCAAAGGCGTGCGCCACCACTGCCCGGCTTCCTACCTCTTTCTTAAAGGCAATGCTTTAGCTATTTTCCTCACTGCACACGTACTCGTAACTCTGTCTCACCCCCTAGTCACATCTCTTCCGGAACAAAGGGTTCCACAGTGCATTCAGCTGTGGAAGCATCATTTTCACTTGTCTGCTTGGCTCCTGCCTCTCTGTGTCTCTTTTTTTTTTTTTTTTTTTTTTTTGGTTTTTACGAGTCAGGGTTTCTCTGTATTGTTTCGGAGGCTATCGGTCCAGCCCGGCCTCGAACTCACAGAGATCCGCCTGCCTCTGCCTCCTCTCTGTGTCTCTTACCAGCTTCACCTTCCTCTCCTTTACCCAAATTCTCTGATCTTTCACCAGCAATACTTCTTCAAAATACAATTTTACATTGAGAGAGAGAGAGAGTGTGTGTGTGTGTGTGTGTGAGTGTGTGTTCGTGCATGTGCGAGTGTGGGTGTGTGTACCATGCGCCCATGTGGAGGTGTGAGGGCTACTTGGAGTCTGTTTTTTCCTCTACCCTGGGTTTTGGAGACCATACTCATCCTTGGCCACTGAAGCCATCTTGCTGGCAGTTTGTTTGTTTGTTTGTTTGAATGACTCACCTGGTTTTAAGGCCTTTGCATCCATCCAGTACTTGTCTCTTCCCAGGATGTCTCCTTCCCCAGATTGCTCAATAAGCTTTGATATTCAGGTCTAGCTTCGTGTTACTTCACTCTTTCTTTAACAGCATCCAGTTTTGTTTCCTCCATCAATGAGGATGCTCACTAAGGTAGTTGTACTTTTGGCGATACAACAGACTGGAGCTAGAAGAGTGACTTATTGCACTGTGAATCCTAGTTTCTGAAAAAACGATCCCGTTTCGTCCGGTGGTCCTCCATGGGAACATGTAGGAACCCTGAAAAGTATCCAAGTGATTTTTTTTTCCCAAGCTGGGTCGTGTCCCATGTCGCTAGCAATCCAATAGCTTCCCCGGTAGACCAAGACAGTGCCAGAGCCCCGTTGTTTCCAATTCTTATTTCTCTGGCTAATAAATGAATACTTTGGATTTATTCTTGATTTGGTACATAAGGGATGACTCTGTGGCCTCGTAGCACCCTGTTCTTTGGGACAAGGGTCTGTGCCTTCAGCTGCTGTCTCCCCCTGACTCAGGTGTCTTGACACCCGGCCCCCCCCCCCAGCTCTTCTCTCCACTTCTCTAACTGCCTCTTCACGGGCGCCAGCTTGCGATACTCCTGGACCTGCTTCACTGACTCCCCCTAGAGCCCCTGATTCTCTTTGTGGACACTAGCGCATTCACCTTCCTGGTGATCTTTTCCTTAACCTCCACGGCGCTGCGCTCTCCCACCCGCAGCCATTTTAGCCCCTGCAGCCGTCTGTCTAGGAGCGTCTTTCGCTGCAGGAACTGCAAGTGTGCCTGGCGGTCCTTTAAGGCTGTCTCCGCATTCACGTTCTCCAGCTCCTTCTGTACCGCCTGGAGTTTCGTCTCCTGGGTCTTCTTTACCGAGCTGATGTGCTCCAGTGACTGAACCTGATGCCTCAGCTGCAACTGGGTGCTTCTTCCCTGCAAGAGCTGCTTCTGCAGGTCTAAGTTTCGTTGGGCAAACTCGGATGCCAGCTCTCATCTCCGCACACTGCTGGAAGTACTGATTCCACAGGTCCTCGTGTTTCTTTCTACACCCATCATTCCGTTTCTTCAGGAATCACAAGAAATAGTGTTCTCAGTCTCTAGGTAGAGGTCTCCTGCAGCAGCCGCTCCCGCTGGAGCCGAGCAGCCTCAATATTCCTGCTCAGCTTCTGCAGTGCCTCCCCCTTCTTTCTACCTTGTTCTCCAGTTTTGCTAGCCTCTCTGACTTGAAACATCCACTGAGAATGGTAAGATTACATTGATGACTGGGGAGAGCCTTTGGGGCTCTGGGCAAAGCTGGATGAGGAACAAAGGAAACATTCCTGAATCGGTTCTTAGGCACAGTTGAGAAAGCAATAACCAAAAACTAACCCAGACCATTGTATTATTGTATTCTTCTGCACCCCCCCCCAGACAGGGTTTCTCTATATAACAGTTCTGGCTGTCCTGGATCTCTTTATAGACCAGGCAGGCCTTGAACTCACAGAGATCTGCCTGCCTCTGCCTCCCAAGTGCTGGGATTAAAGGCGTGTGCCACCATCATCCATATTGTATTGTATTCTTACAAAAAAAAATCTTTTGGGTTTCTATCATGCTCCAGATAAGGCCAATGACGATTAGACTTCTATCAATTTGACACACGCAAGAGCGATTCCGGAGAAGCTACACTGAGAAATGACTCTGCCAGATTGTCTTGCAGAAATCGACAGGTTATTGTGTTTAAATGAATGACTGATGTGGGTGGGCCCAGTTCGCAGGGATAAGATGGCACCCCTGGCCGGTGGTCCTGAGTTGACTAGAGAGGTCAGGCCAAGCAAGTCAGCAAGCAGTGCACCTCCAGGGCCTCTGCTTCAGCCCCGCCTTGGGTTCCCGCCTTGTCTTCCTGCCCTGACTTCTGCACTATGACACACAAGTCTAAGAAGAAATAAACGCTTCCCTTCCCAGCGTCACTTTTGGTTATGGTGTTTTATCAGAGCAAAGGAAACCCTAACTAAGGCAGGGTCTCTCACCAAACCTGTTTCTCATGCTATGCTAGCCGGCTGGCAATAAACACCTGGGATCTGCCTATTTCCATGCCCCCGTGGCAGCCTTAGGGTCACAGGCATGTTCTGCTCTGCTCAGCTTTCTGAGTGGGCTTTGGTGATAAATTCAGATCCTCTTGCCACGTGGCAGGCGCCCGAGCCACTGAGCCTTCTCCCGGGCCCTCTCTCTCCGTCATCACTGCCAAGCTTAGGAGACCTTCTGTTCACATCACTCCCCTCCTCAGTACCTACCTACTTCAGGCATTTATTAAGGTCCATCTGGCGCTCACTGGGGATTTTCGCCAAAGAACTAGTTCAGGGCATCTGCCTTCGGGGAGCACAATTTTCAAAAGGTGTCTTTACTTTGGGGTCAACATCACAGGATTTCTTAGTCTCAACTACCAAATTAGTCCTAGCAGATTGCCTGGCTTTGTTCCCACATCTTCTGGGGCTTTTGTCTTGAAAATCGGCTGTCCAGCTCTTGGGATTCCATGCGCTCTCGCACTCCTGAGGAGGAGGGCCTTGCCCCTCCCAAGTCCTCTTTTCCTTCTACCAACCCTCGCTGAAGCGCCCTACACCTCAGTTGTCCAACCCTCCCATTTCTCAGCCACAGCAGAGTAAGACCCACAGACGCCTCACTGGCCCTCCACCCTATTCCTCAGACTGGCGTCATGTTCCCCGCACAATGGTCACATGGAATGTCACAGGAGTCTCTCCAGTGATTTGGTGTCTCTGTGGTGAAGGGCTAGATTGCAACTTCCGCTAAGTCTGAGGCCTCATGGGACATCGGCCCACCGTGTGTCTGCTGGCTGTGGGAAGAGCAGGAGTCCAGAAGAACCACCTTTCTAGAAATGACTACCTTGAGGGGCCTGGTGAGAGACTTCCTGTGGCAGGAGGAAGGTCAGGAGGGCCTCTGCGGCGGTAAAGAGCTCAGAGGGTGGGCTCCCGTCAACTTCTACTCCAGTTCCTTCCCCTGGGAAACCTGGGATCCTAGCTTGGGTCAGTTAGGGTTGTCTTCTGCACACACACCCCCATCCCCGTCACTGGCGTGACTGTCCGTGTTGTACGTTGTCTTGAGAA